ATCTGCACGAATGCCCCGCCAAGCCGAACAACTCTCCTGAAGCTTTTGAACTGATAGTGCGACATCACTGCGACATCTGCAAACTCTTGTCTGGCTTGGGGACTCTTCAACGTGCCATGATTACGACCATCCCAAGCCGTGTAGCAAGGTGCACTGCCTTTGCTGAACCTGGCTGTGAAGGCTAAAGGAGAACTTCAGGGCTTTGCGGCTACTCAAGCACTTGCGAGACGCAAGGAACCCAAAAGGATATCTTACATCGGGAACTTCTGTCTTCCGGTACTCAACACTACTGTTGTGATAGCGAGCTGTTGAAAATTGCAAATGTAACACAATGGATGCTAGGAACGGGATGGCTGTTATCTACATATATAAGCGACCGTCAAAACTATGGAGGAGGGCGCGGAGATCAAGCTCCCTTGACCCTGAACCCTACCGACCCACGCGATGGAAGTGCTCGAAACACTGTCAGCGAAGCGATCCGCGCTGCAAGGCCCCCATGCATTCCCACCCCAGCAAGATCAAGCACCCTTGAAACTGTTCGCAGACCCCGGCCGTCGTAGATCCTACTTTGCGCCTGCCCAGCAGGGAGAGGTTCGCCAGTCGGATTTGTGTTCAGAAGGCCCTGTCGCGTGGTGTCGCAACGACCAACGCTCAAGCTGCAAATGACACTAGCACTGTAAACTCAACGTCATCCGGCTAAACTTCGACCTGCAAATGAGCTGCCATGCGCTTGGCCTGATTGCGGTATTTGATCTTCCCCGCCCAATATCTTCTCTCTGCCTTCTGAGCGGCTAGCTGGCTGTGTGAGACATAGCCCCCTATAGAGCAGGTCATCGCTGACACCGTCCAATTCATCGCAGATTGGGGCTCAACGTGCTACCGGCCAGGCCAAGATCAGAGCATGTGTTTTCATGTGAATGCATTGGGAACACTCTGCATTCTTGGGCCTGGCTTCAAGTTGCATCTGGTAATAGATCCCAAGCAACTGTCAGAATTAGACGCTGCCAAATGCAACAATACACCACAAGTCTGGAAGCCCACTACAGCTGCAATATTTCTGAATGGCGTGACCTCTAATGTGCCTGCAGTGCTCTCTGCTGGGCGAGCCATGCGTCTGCACCAGCAAGTGTCTACCCGTGTACCAATTCCATTGAGTCACTGAGGGCCAGACATGTCGCCTTTCTCTTTCGATTTGGCCCGCCTTCCGCACGGAACCGAGACTTTGTGCCTTGACGACGACTTGTCTACGACAGCAGCAAGCTGCAAATTCCAAAGCTTCCAGAGTCTGCAGAGTTCGGAACGCAGATCCTTGGAATCGACGTCATTCACATCCGATTGGCGCCAAAGCGTGTGAGCTGGCGAGCAGAGAGCCAAACGCACCCGGACGACATGCCTGATGAAAGTGCTTGGTTCACGGGTTCCGAAGCGTGGACGCCGGTCGATGTGCGTTTGCATAAAGCGATGCGGATGCGAGATAACATCCTCCCCCCCAAACAGTAGCGTGATCCTTGATGGTAGCTGTAGATGTGGCGGCAGGGCCGAGCCGTCTGCAAGGCACGACATGCAATGCCGGAATCCCCAACCCAGATTCCATAAATGTCGTGCCTGCTTCTGCTTCGGAACGAGTTTTCTCCGCGGACTTCGTGAAACCTGAAGATGAAGTCGATGTTGCATGCAGCCAGCAGGTGACGGCAGAGTTTACAGGCTCACGCCAACTCACCATGCAAAACACACCACACCACACCGCTGCCTGTAGATCTTCCGGCCACCCCGCGCATGTCTTGACCTAGGCTCTTATGCTTGGAGTTTTTGGACGGAGTCCGGGCTGAGTGGTGGGGATTGCATCCCGAGCCACGGGACGAAGAAGGGGCCAGAGGTCTTCTTCCGCGGATTGTCAACAGTGAAGCTATGAAGCGAGAGGGGCAGGTTCAAGCGATAGACAAGAAAAGAGCACGCAGCGCAAAGGCAAAAGAACAGACAGTTACTAACCCCTAACTAGCATCCTGCGCAGAGAAGAACTAACTCCATTCTATCTGCCCTAAATACAGCCATGACGGTAGTGAGATCGCAAATGCTGAATTGCCTGCACGCGGGCGGGCTCGTCGCACGCGATTTCTTTGACCTCATTGACCAAAGTAAGCTTCACAGCAATGCGCCCAGTAGCACGATACAGCAGACAAGCATGAACTTAGAGGCATCGCAGGGGCGGAGAAGCAAAAAGACTGCACGTGACGCCAGGAACTGTGGAGCACAAGTGCGGGGCCGTCAAGAGTCCAGCGGCCACGGGACCCTGCGGGTCTGTGGACTGCAGGCAAAAATACGAGCCCCAAGCCCCTAGTTCCGAGATCCCTGAGTCCTATATGTCCTATATGTCTCGGTGCAAAACGCAAAGGCTTATTCATATTCCATAAGCGAATCGCAGGCAGAGAAAATCATTGGGTCGAGATGGCAAGCTTTCTGGCACATAAAGAAACATGTGAGCTCGGCGCGAACCAGACGACGTGAAACGGTCAACAATACTAACACTATGTCACTATGTTATGAAGCCGATGTAATGAGTCATACTTTTGTAGTATCTTGTCTGTATGCTCTTGGCATGTTGGTACGGGTGCCGCTGCACACAGCCAACAACCCCGATTTGGGACTCTGGTTTTTGTTGCTGCTACTGCTACTGTACCTTGGGCAGGTGGCTGGCTGCTTCAAGTTTATACACTTCAGGCCCGAACTCTCAGGCCAACTGGGCCGTACCGCCGCTTGTGAACCCCTGCATACCCCACGATGCGAAACCTCAACCTGGAAACCGAAATCCGTACCTCCAGGAAGCAAGGCTGCAGATCCATGCTGTTCGAAGCACCGCAATGGCCACTGAGTTGCCCTGCTGCTGCCAATGGCAGCTTCATGAGTTAGACTGTGAGATACCTGCTCCCAAGCTCAAAAGTCCGTGCATGCGGATAAAAAACTGCATTTGGAAAACATGTCCGACTGCACCCTGCACTTTTGCTTCTGAAGCAGACCACCAGGTGCAACATCTCATGAACTTGCAAAGGTCGTTCTGCCCCATGACCGTACACACCGCGAGTTCCAAATCCCAAGCTCCGCCACAGTCCTCGAAGTAACGCCTTTTTCCGCGAAGTCGCAGGCACTCCGGGCCGCTCCACAGCCGAACGGCTCTATTTCGTTTCAGACCTTCGGGGCCTCAGAGGGGCTGGCACCTTCCAGGCGACGGCCCAGGGTGGTCAGAGAGCTTGCGCCGGAGGGGAGGTCGCCTCGGCTAGAAGGACGAATTTTGGGGTTTAGGCGTTTATCGAATCCTGAGAACCCTGTAGTCCACCGAACCCTTGCGCCACAAAATTGCCTGAGCGTCTCAAGCGATGGCCTGATTCAGTTGCTAAGGCCATGCTTTGCCACAGTGCCAAATGACGAATGGGGGCATACCAATATAAATAAATAAATAAACAAATAAATAAATAAATATAAATAAATAAACAAATATGTATATATATATATATATATAGAGGGTATAGGGGGACCTCTTGAGGAATATGTACTATAACTCTAGTCCAGGGCTCATATGAGTCCATCCGAGGCAGGACCCTTGAACAGCAGTTCGAAGTTTGCTTGAAGGTCTGCTGCCAGTGAACAACCCACTGGTCTGTAAGGGGTAGTGGGGGAGTGAATCTAGATACCATTTTAGGGGGTCATATAGGGACTGTTATAGGGATCCACTTCTCCACTCTCCCTTAAGCACCACTAGGACGATTTCGACGTGAACTACACCCGTGGATTCGCGCTACATAGCCTCGAGACAGAAGCTGGACGCAGTCTGCCCCTTGTTGAGTCAACATGTCATACTTGTTGGGCATTTGTGGGGAAGTACTCCTGGGGATATCTGCGCATACCCCATCCAACAGGCATAGCTGGCTGCTGCTGCTGCAGTTGCAAACTCCCAGTTGCAGCTCCGCTTGAACCTCCCAGAAAAGCCACCATGCCCACTTTTAAACCCTAACAGCACTCTAAACCCTAGGACCATAAACCCTACTGGTGCTTAACGGGGAGTGGGGGAGTGAATCTAGGTACCGTTATAGGAGAGATATATAGGGACTATCATAGGGATCCACTCCTCCACTCTCCCTTAAGCATCCGTGAAAAATCCCTGGGCTAAAGCCGAAAATCTAAACCCCAGCTCCCCAGTGTCAAGACACTTTGAAACCCCAACACCCTAAACGCTTACGCCTTTCATTCCCTGGGCTTAAGCCCTGAACCCTATACCCTAAACCAGAGATCCAACAGCCCAGTGTGAAGACTAAGCCCCAATCGCCAGCGACCACGGCAGCTGAGGACAAGGAACGGAGCCATGGCTTCGAGGGGCTACTTATCTTAGTTTAGGGTTCAGGCCTACGAGGGGTTAGAGTCTATAGGGTTTGGGGACTCATGTTCGGGCTTAAGACTAAGGGCTAGGGGTTAGGATTGAAGGCTTAGCGTTAGAGTGTAGGGTTTGAGGCTACGGGCTTGGGGTCAGATGATGTCTGGGCTCAAAACAGCATGTCCTCGAGACCTTCATGGTATGCATATGTGGTAAGTAGTAGGGTGCCTTAGAAGGGTAGTTCAATGAACAATCCTTCAAAGCAACCCTGCTTGTCTTTAACTGGTCCCACAACCTGTAGCTGCAACAAAACCACTTTTCTCCACGGAGCGCCAGGGCAGAAATCCAATAGGAGATGACGAAGGTTTCGGAAGATTAGGTCCCATCTGACAGCTCCCACGGTAAGACGCATCTCGCTTATCAGGGGTTCATATTGGGTTTGGGCACTTGCATGCACAGGCCCCGCCTGCATGTCCTTAAACCCTATAAACCCGTTTCTTCCAAACTCTCGGTTGCTCTTGCAAACTCAGCGGTGCTTCGCATAGCTTGCTCTCCTAACACACTTGCCGGTGAGACTGTTGGCGTACAAGTTGGTTGCAATTTTGCATTGTGAGACTGCTGCAAATCCGATCTCATATTATGATGCGCAGACTGCCTGCGGTGGGATCTTGGAATGCCATGCGCCGCGGTTCATGCTTGTCCCCTCCCTCGGTCACTCTGTCCCTTGGTGAGTTGATGTGACTTGGGTCACCGTACCTTATAAAGAATAAACCCGTGAATGCATAAAGAGTCTACGTGATGCAGGATATGCGAGCTCTGAATTCAGCAGCATGTTGGGCCTGGGCCATTGCATCTGCCCCCTGCAGGCCCTAGACGCTAAAACCTGAACCCCAGACCCTCTCCTGGATGTGGCGTGTCCGTCGGACTGTAGCATAAATTCTAGATGCCACGAACCACGGGCCCGACCGTTTTTGCTACTACCACTGCTTATAGTAGCACGAGTAGGCATACCACCAGCAGCAGCAACCTGCAGAAGGCGACACAAGCCCCTGAAATTCTAGCCTGCCACCCTCCACGGGTTAACGAGTGCAGAAGCGAGGGCAATGCAAGAAATGGAAGCCGCAAGCCAGGAAAAGTCGATGTACTAGGGTCCCTCACCCAACCTCGCCGTCGTGACCATAAATCAAGGCCCAACCAAGGATCTTGGTTATCCATTCTGACGCACAGGCTGGAACAAATACTGCAGCCAGTGCTCACCGTGACTGCCATGCTCAAGGTCTGCTCGCCCAGTGTTACCCAAGCATATTAGCTTCTGGAAGGCTGACAGCAGCCCAACATGAATGATACCACACACACACACACACACACACACCCATGAATGTCAAGCTCAAGGATGGGATTGTTTTGGTGTGTGTGACTGCACACTCACGCATTCCTGACTCGCCAACTGTAATATACTGCCAAATTCTGCGACGAAACTCTTGCAAGGCATCATAACATCCTGTGTGGGGTCTAGTGTCTAGCAGCGGTGACAAGTCGCGACATACTCCGACGTTCTGCACATGTCTGAAGGCTGCGCTCGTAGAGCAAAACATGCAACACACCGACAAAACTTGCTGATGCCACTTGCCTGGCCCCACCATGGCTTTGTGGCCCTTTGGAGCCCCTCCCTCGGTCCCCCTCCCGCCTGATCAGCATCGTAGACCCGCACTTTATTGTCAACGCCACCGGCGGCCAGGAGGCTGCCCGACCACGCCACTGCGATGATGTTGCTGCTGGCGTCGGTGAGCGTGGACAGGAGCTTGTAGTCCTGGCGGTTGGGGGGGGGGCGGGGATGCCTGGCGGCCTGGGAAAAGGAAAAGCTGAATCCCAGCAAAGCTTTGGCCTTCAGCCTTCCCTGCTCAGCCCTTCTGTCGTGCACTGTCTTTAAGCCAGCATCCCATGTTCTGGGAGGCTGTCTGCTGGCGCAGCATACGCAGCAGAGTGCAGCTATGCTAGAAGCTTCATGCAAGTAACCCCCCGCCCGGAGTCACGACTGGACGCATCTCGCAAAAAAAAGCTCTGGAAAATTGGCGGTGGTAATAATCACCTCTGGGGCCTGACCTCTCTCAGAGTAAGTAGGAGTAGGAGTAGACAAGGAGGGATAGCCTTTAGCGATTTGTTTGAGGATTGGATCTTAAGAGCTGTTTAGTAAGAGATCCATAGTTTCTGGCATCCTTGCAGCTTAGGGATTTGGAAGCTCGAGGGTCTTTGGCTAGGCATCTGCAGCAGATGCAGATGGAAAAGCGGATGTCTCCGTTGCGACCCTCAGAAAGCAGAGAGGTAAGAAAGCAGAGAGGTACTTTATCAATCGGCTGCGCCACTCTCTTGGCCTGGCTCTGCTCAAGTGAGCTGAAGGCCCGTGCTCCGACGAAGCAGCATCTACAAAGAAGCACGCACGAGAGCCTTTGTCTTGCATTCTCTTACTGACCCCTAATTGCGGACCATGATTTTGTCATGGGATTTCTGGGCGGGGAAATTGCATTATTAGCACCCCCTGAAAACCCAATACGTGCATCGGCGAGTCCAGAAAATCATAGGCTCGCAATTTAAAACCAAGCAACATGAATCTCAGATTTTCTCTTCTCTGGCCCAGGAAAGTTGAATATCGGTTTATACTACCGACGCTTACATTGACGCCCTGCAGCTCTGTGATGAAACTGTCCGCACTTCGCCAGGGCCCAATTTCAAGCAGTCGACACTCAGAAAAAAAATGGGATTGGTCCCCTGTTGCGGCGTGAGCTACCTAGCCGCGCTGTGTTTCTCGCTTCTTCCCTGCGCCGACCTTCGGTCCAGGTGAGTTTTGCGGACCTTCTGCAAGTCTCTGAAGGCTGCGCTCGTGCAGCAAGACATGCAACATCGTGCAACACACTGCAACAAACCCAGTCAGACATCCCCAAAAACTTGCTGATGCCACTTGCCTGGCCCCACCATGGCTCTGTGGCCCTTTGGAGCCCCTCCCTCGGTCCCCCTCCCGCCTGATCAGCATCGTAGACCCGCACGTTATTGTCACTGCCACCGGCGGCCAGGAGGCTGCCCGACCACGCCACTGCTTCGATGTAGTCGCTGGCGTCGGTGAGCGTGGACAGGAGCTTGAAGTCCTGGCAGTTGAGGGGGGGGCGGGGATGCCTGGCGGCCTGGGAAAAGGAAAAGCTGAATCCCAGCAAAGCTTTGGCCTTCAGCCTTCACTGCTCAGCCCTTCTGTCGTGCACTCTCTTTAAGCCAGCATCCCATGTTCTGGGAGGCTGTCTGCTGGCGCAGCATACGCAGCAGAGTGCAGCCATGCTAGAAGCTTCATGCAAGTAACCCCCCGCCCGGAGTCACGAGCAGATGCATCTCGAAAAAAAAGCTCTGGAAATTGGCGGTGGTAGTAATCACCTTTGGGGCCTGACCTCTCTCAGAGTACGTAGGAGTAGGAGTAGACAAGGAGGGATAGCCTTCAGCGATTTGTTTGAGGATTGGATCTTAAGAGCTGTTTAGTAAGAGATCCTTGCAGCTTAGGGATTTGGAAGCTCGAAGGTATTTGGCTAGGCATCTGCAGCACATGCAGATGGAAAAGCCGCTGTCTCTCTTGCGACCCTCAGAAGGCAGAGAGGTACTTTATCACTCTGCTGCGCCACTCTCTTGGCCTGGCTCTGCTCAAGTGAGCTGAAGGCCCGTGCTCCGACGAAGCAGCATCTACAAAGAAGCACGCACGAGAGCCTTTGTCTTGCATTCTCTTACTGACCCCTAATTGCGGACCATGATTTTGTCATGGGATTTCTGGGCGGGGAAATTGCATTATTAGCACCCCCTGAAAACCCAATACGTGCATCGGCGAGTCCAGAAAATCATAGGCTCGCAATTTAAAACCAAGCAACATGAATCTCAGATTTTCTCTTCTCTGGCCAAGGAAAGTTGAATATCGGTTTATACTACCGACGCTTACATTGATGCCCTGCAGCTCTGTGATGAAACTGTCCGCACTTCGCCAGGGCCCAATTTCAAGCAGTCGACACTTAGAAAAAAAATGGGATTGGTCCCCTGTTGCGGCGTGAGCTACCTAGCCGCGCTGTGTTTCTCGCTTCTTCCCTGCACCGACCTTCGGTCCAGGCGAGTTTTGCGGACCTTCTGCAAGTCTCTGAAGGCTGCGCTCGTGCAGCAAGACATGCAACATCGTGCAACACACTGCAACAAACCCAGTCAGACATCCCCAAAAACTTGCTGATGCCACTTGCCTGGCCCCACCATGGCTCTGTGGCCCTTTGGAGCCCCTCCCTCGGTCCCCCTCCCGCCTGATCAGCATCGTAGACCCGCACGTTATTGTCATAGCTACCGGCGGCCAGGAGGCTGCCCGACCACGCCACTGCGAAGATGTCGTAGCTGGCGTCGGTGAGCGTGGACAGGAGCTTGTAGTCCTGGCGGTTTTGGGGGGGCGGGGATGCCTGGAGGCCTGGGCAAATGAAAAGCTGAATCCCAGCAAAGCTTTGGCCTTCAGCCTTCACTGCTCAGTGCAGCTATGCTAGAAGCTTAAGGCAAGTAACCCCCCGCCCGGAGTCACGAGCGGACGCATCTCAAAAAAAAAGGTCTGGAACATTGGCGGTGGTAATAATCACCTCTGGGGCCTGACCTCTCTCAGAGTACGTAGGAGTAGGAGTAGGAGTAGACAAGGAGGGATAGCCTTCAGCGACTTCTTTGAGGATTGGATCTTAAGAGCTGTTTAGTAAGAGATCCATAGTTTCTGGCATCCTTGCAGCTTAGGGATTTGGAAGCTCGATGGTCTTTGGCTAGGCATCTGCAGCAGATGCAGATGGAAAAGCGGATGTCTCCGTTGCGACCCTCAGAAGGCAGAGAGGTACTTTATCACTCTGCTGCGCCACTCTCTTGGCCTGGCTCTGCTCAAGTGAGCTGAAGGCACGTGCTCCAACGAGGTAGCATCTACAAAGAAGCAAGCACAAGAGCAATTTGTCTTGCATTCTCTGTCCGATCCCTAATTGCGGACCATGATTTGTTTTGGGATTTCTGGGAGGAAGTTGCATTGCTGCATTATTACCACCCCTTGAAAACCCAATACGTGTATCGGCGAATCCAGAAAATCATAGGCTCGCAGTTTAAAACCAAGCAACATGAATCTCAGATTTTCTCTTCTCTGGCCAAGGAAAGTTGAATATCGGTTTATACTACCGACGCTTACATTGACGCCCTGCAGCTCTGTGATGAAACTGTCCGCACTTCGCCAGGGCCCAATTTCAAGCAGTCGACACTCAGAAAAAAAATGGGATTGGTCCCCTGTTGCGGCGTGAGCTACCTAGCCGCGCTGTGTTTCTCGCTTCTTCCCTGCGCCGACCTTCGGTCCAGGTGAGTTTTGCGGACCTTCTGCAAGTCTCTGAAGGCTGCGCTCGTGCAGCAAGACATGCAACATCGTGCAACACACTGCAACAAACCCAGTCAGACATCCCCAAAAACTTGCTGATGCCACTTGCCTGGCCCCACCATGGCTCTGTGGCCCTTTGGAGCCCCTCCCTCGGTCCCCCTCCCGCCTGATCAGCATCGTAGACCCGCACTTTATTGTCAACGCCACCGGCGGCCAGGAGGCTGCCCGACCACGCCACTGCGTAGATGTCGTAGCTGGCGTCGGTGAGCGTGGACAGGAGCTTGTAGTCCTGGCGGTTGGGGGGGGCGGGGATGCCTGGCGGCCTGGGAAAAGGAAAAGCTGAATCCCAGCAAAGCTTTGGCCTTCAGCCTTCACTGCTCAGCCCTTCTGTCGTGCACTCTCTTTAAGCCAGCATCCCATGTTCTGGGAGGCTGTCTGCTGGCGCAGCATACGCAGCAGAGTGCAGCTATGCTAGAAGCTTAATGCAAGTAACCCCCCGCCCGGAGTCACGACTGGACGCATCTCGAAAAAAAGCTCTGGAAAATTGGCGGTGGTAATAATCACCTCTGGGGCCTGACCTCTCTCAGAGTAAGTAGGAGTAGGAGTAGGAGTAGACAAGGAGGGGTAGCCTTTAGCGATTTGTTTGAGGATTGGATCTTAAGAGCTGTTTAGTAAGAGATCCATAGTTTCTGGCATCCTTGCAGCTTAGGGATTTGGAAGCTCGAGGGTATTTGGCTGGGCATCTGCAGCAGATGCAGATGGAAAAGCGGCTGTGTCCCTTGTGACCCTAAGAAGGCAGAGAGGCACTTTATCAATCGGCTGCGCCACTCTCTTGGCCTGGCTCTGCTCAAGTGAGCTGAAGGCCCGTGCTCCGACGAAGTAGCATCTACAAAGAAGCACGCACAAGAGCCTTTGTCTTGCATTCTCTTACTGATCCCTAATTGCGGACCATGATTTTGTCACTGGATTTCTGGGCGGGGAAATTGCATTATTATCACCCCCTGAAAACCCAATACGTGCATCGGCGAGTTCAGAAAATCATAGGCTCGCAATTTAAAATCAAATTCGAGCAACATGAATCTCAGATTTTCTCTTCTCTGGCCAAGGAAAGTTGAATATCGGTTTATACTACCGACGCTTACATTGACGCCCTGCAGCTCTGTGATGAAACTGTCCGCACTTCGGCAGGGCCCAATTTCAAGCAGTCGACACTCAGAAAAAAATGGATTGGTTCCCTGTTGCGGTGTGAGCTACCTAGCCGCGCTGTGTTTCTCGCTTCTTCCCTGCACCGACCTTCGGTCCAGGCGAGTTTTGCGGACCTTCTGCAAGTCTCTGAAGGCTGCGCTCGTGCAGCAAGACATGCAACATCGCGCAACACACTGCAACAAACCCAGTCAGACATCCCCAAAAACTTGCTGATGCCACTTGCCTGGCCCCACCATGGCTCTGTGGCCCTTTGGAGCCCCTCCCTCGGTCCCCCTCCCGCCTGATCAGCATCGTAGACCCGCACTTTATTGTCAACGCCACCGGCGGCCAGGAGGCTGCCCGACCACGCCACTGCGTAGATGTCGTAGCTGGCGTCGGTGAGCGTGGACAGGAGCTTGTAGTCCTGGCGGTTTTGGGGGGGCGGGGATGCCTGGCGGCCTGGGAAGATGAAAAGCTGAATCCCAGCAAAGCTTTGGCCTTCAGCCTTCACTGCTCAGCCCTTCTGTCGTGCACTCTCTTTAAGCCATCATCCCATGTTCTGGGAGGCTGTCTGCTGGCGCAGCATACGCAGCAGAGTGCAGCTATGCTAGAAGCTTCATGCAAGTAACCCCCCGCCCGGAGTCACGACTGGACGCATCTCGCAAAAAAAAGCTCTGGAAAATTGGCGGTGGTAATAATCACCTCTGGGGCCTGACCTCTCTCAGAGTAAGTAGGAGTAGGAGTAGGAGTAGACAAGGAGGGGTAGCCTTTAGCGATTTGTTTGAGGATTGGATCTTAAGAGCTGTTTAGTAAGAGGTCCATAGTTTCTGGCATCCTTGCAGCTTAGGGATTTGGAAGCTCGAGGGTATTTGGCTGGGCATCTGCAGCAGATGCAGATGGAAAAGCGGCTGTGTCCCTTGTGACCCTAAGAAGGCAGAGAGGCACTTTATCAATCGGCTGCGCCACTCTCTTGGCCTGGCTCTGCTCAAGTGAGCTGAAGGCCCGTGCTCCGACGAAGTAGCATCTACAAAGAAGCACGCACAAGAGCAATTTGTCTTGCATCCTCTTACTGATCCCTAATTGCGGACCATGATTTTGTCATGGGATTTCTGGGCGGGGAAATTGCATTATTATCACCCCCTGAAAACCCAATACGTGCATCGGCGAGTTCAGAAAATCATAGGCTCGCAATTTAAAATCAAATTCGAGCAACATGAATCTCAGATTTTCTCTTCTCTGGCCAAGGAAAGTTGAATATCGGTTTATACTACCGACGCTTACATTGACGCCCTGCAGCTCTGTGATGAAACTGTCCGCACTTCGGCAGGGCCCAATTTCAAGCAGTCGACACTCAGAAAAAAAATGGATTGGTTCCCTGTTGCGGCGTGAGCTACCTAGCCGCGCTGTGTTTCTCGCTTCTTCCCTGCACCGACCTTCGGTCCAGCCGAGTTTTGCGGACCTTCTGCAAGTCTCTGAAGGCTGCGCTCGTGCAGCAAGACATGCAACATCGCGCAACACACTGCAACAAACCCAGTCAGACATCCCCAAAAACTTGCTGATGCCACTTGCCTGGCCCCACCATGGCTCTGTGGCCCTTTGGAGCCCCTCCCTCGGTCCCCCTCCCGCCTGATCAGCATCGTAGACCCGCACGTTATTGTCACTGCCACCGGCGGCCAGGAGGCTGCCCGACCACGCCACTGCTCTGATGGTGTTGCTGGCGTCGGTGAGCGTGGACAGGAGCTTGTAGTCCTGGCGGTTTTGGGGGGGCGGGGATGCCTGGCGGCCTGGGAAGATGAAAAGCTGAATCCCAGCAAAGTTTGGCCTTTAGCCTTCACTGCTCAGCCCTTCTGTCGTGCACTCTGTTTAAGCCAGCATCCCATGTTCTGGGAGGCTGTCTGCTGGCGCAGCATACGCAGCACAGTGCAGCTATGCTAGAAGCTGAAGGCAAGTAACCCCCCGCCCGGAGTCACGAGCGGACGCATCTCAAAAAAAAAGGTCTGGAACATTGGCGGTGGTAATAATCACCTCTGGGGCCTGACCTCTCTCAGAGTACGTAGGAGTAGGAGTAGGAGTAGACAAGGAGGGATAGCCTTCAGCGACTTCTTTGAGGATTGGATCTTAAGAGCTGTTTAGTAAGAGATCCATAGTTTCTGGCATCCTTGCAGCTTAGGGATTTGGAAGCTCGATGGTATTTGGCTAGGCATCTGCAGCAGATGCAGATGGAAAAGCGGCTGTGTCCCTTGCGACCCTGAGAAGGCAGAGAGGTACTTTATCACTCAGCTGCGCCACTCTCTTGGCCTGGCTCTGCTCAAGTGAGCTGAAGGCCCGTGCTCCGACGAAGTAGCATCTACAAAGAAGCACGCACAAGAGCCTTTGTCTTGCATTCTCTTACTGATCCCTAATTGCGGACCATGATTTTGTCACTGGATTTCTGGGCGGGGAAATTGCATTATTATCACCCCCTGAAAACCCAATACGTGCATCGGCGAGTTCAGAAAATCATAGGCTCGCAATTTAAAATCAAATTCGAGCAACATGAATCTCAGATTTTCTCTTCTCTGGCCAAGGAAAGTTGAATATCGGTTTATACTACCGATGCTTACATTAACGCCCTGCAGCTCTGTGATGAAGCTGTCCGCACTTCGCCAGGGCCCAATTTCAAGCAGTCGACACTCAGAAAAAAAATGGATTGGTTCCCTGTTGCGGCGTGAGCTACCTAGCCGCGCTGTGTTTCTCGCTTCTTCCCTGCACCGACCTTCGGTCCAGGCGAGTTTTGCGGACCTTCTGCAAGTCTCTGAAGGCTGCGCTCGTGCAGCAAGACATGCAACATCGCGCAACACACTGCAACAAACCCAGTCAGACATCCCCAAAAACTTGCTGATGCCACTTGCCTGGCCCCACCATGGCTCTGTGGCCCTTTGGAGCCCCTCCCTCGGTCCCCCTCCCGCCTGATCAGCATCGTAGACCCGCACTTTATTGTCAACGCCACCGGCGGCCAGGAGGCTGCCCGACCACGCCACTGCGTAGATGTCGTAGCTGGCGTCGGTGAGCGTGGACAGGAGCTTGAAGTCCTGGCAGTTGAGGGGGGGGCGGGGATGCCTGGCGGCCTGGGCAAATGAAAAGCTGAATCCCAGCAAAGCTTTGGCCTTCAGCCTTCCCTGCTCAGCCCTTCTGTCGCGCACTCTCTTTAAGCCACCATCCCATGTTCTGGGAAGCTGATGGAGGCTGTCTGCTGGCGCAGAGAGTGTCTGCTCATCCTTCTTGGCTTGCGGTGTCCAAAATGTCCGAAGCAGGCATTGGTTGCTGAAAGCATGTTCCACATGACTTCCACTTTGATCCTCCGCTATAATCGAGATTTTAGGGGTGCGGGAGTTTAATGGCTGCTGAAAGCATGCATCGAGGATACGAGCACATCGGATGAAAAGGCTGCATGAATGCTCAGGCAAGAATTTCTTTCATTAAGGGTGCTGCAGGGCAAAACCCAGGGCCGGCTTGCCTGCATTCCGCGGCAACAGCATTCGTCCTGGCAACCACGGCATGGTAGCGGCTCCCGGAAGAAAACATGCGGGGCCTTCCCAAAATCGTAAGGGTTTCCATTGTAACATTCCAGGATCTCATCCCAACAGTTCTGGGTGACAATTCTGAGCTACAGCCAAGCTATTGGATCCCATGCTCTGCATCAGTGGACTGGACTAACCAGGGGACACGAGCACGCCAACTAGCTCATTCTTTCGCGTGTTTCTTGGGCCCAAGGTACTCAAAACACACTGAATTCCAGATAGGGGCACACATGTCCAACAAGCAAGCAGAAGCACGCACATGCAGAAAAACGCGAAAACAATCTGGAACACCTTGCTGTGTTGTTGGAATGAAGCAATACTGGAACACAGCCGGCTGAACCTTGCAGTATTCTGCGGTAATTGTCCTTCAATGCACATATCTGCAGCTGTCCTCGCTGCTGCCCGCAACGTCTTTCGCACCTTCAGGCGCGCGTTCATCTTGCCGTCTTTATGCTGATGTTGGGAACCCATGCGGACAAATATCACTGGCCCACATCAACCAATCCCTCAAACAGGATTTCTGCTCGTAAAGGGAAAGTGTCATCAAGGGCAAAATACCACAGGCCTGGAATCAGCACGTAGTCTTTGGGGCAGCTGAAAGTCGAACATGCTGCGCGGCAGCACATGTCCTGACCGAACCATGTGTATACATCTTTGCTGACCTTCAGAACTTGCAAGAGCTTGCAACATCTTGCTCACTTCGATTCAGAAGCAGCCCCCTCAAACGAGAAAGCGCAAGAAGACACATGCACAAATGCCGGAAAACAGCCTGCTGGACTGTGCAGTATCCTGGTGGCTGTTTCAATTCGCACGTCTGCAGCTGTCCTCGCTGCTGCCCGCAACGTCTTTCGCACCTTCCGGCGGTTGGGAACCCATTCAAGCAAATATCACTAGCCCACATCAACCAATCCCACAAGCAGCTTTCTGCTCGTAAAGGGAAACTGTGTCAGGGAAACTGTGTCATCAAGGGCGAAATGCCACAGGCCTGCAATCAGCACGTAGTCTTTGGGGCAGCTGAAAGTCGAACATGCTGCGCGGCAGCACATGTCCTGACCGAACCATGTGTATACATCTTTGCTGACCTTCAGAACTTGCAAGAGCTTGCAACACCTTGCTCACTTCGATTCAGAAGCAGCACCCTAAAACGAGCAAGCGCAAGAAGACACATGCACAATGCCGGAACAGGGCCTGCTGGACAGTGCAGTATCCTTTCAGGCTGTTTTGATTCGCACGTCTGCAGCTGTCCTCGCTGCTGCCCGCAACGGCTTTCGCACCTTCAGGCGCGCGTTCATCTTGCCGTCTTTCTGCTGATGTTGGGAACCCATGCGGACAAATATCACTGGCCCACATCAACCAATCCCTCCAACAGCTTTCTGCTCGTAAAGGGAAAGTGTCATCAAGGGCAAAATACCACAGGCCTGCAATCAGCGCGTAGTCTTTGGGGCATCTGAAAGTCGAACATGCTGCGCGGCAGCACGTGTCCTGCCCGCACCATTTGTATACATCTTTGCCGACCTTCAGATCATCTTGCAAGAGCTTGCAACACCTTGCTCACTTCGATTCAGAAGCAGCCCCCTAAAACGAGCAAGCGCAAGAAGACACATGCACAATGCCGGAACAGGGCCTGCTGGACAGTGCAGTATCCTTTCAGGCTGTTTTGATTCGCACGTCTGCAGCTGTCCTCGCTGCTGCCCGCTACAGCTTTCGCACCTTCAGGCGCGCGTTCATCTTGCCGTCTTTCTGCTGATGTTGGCAGCCCATGCGAGCAAATATCACTAGCCCACATCAACCAATCCCTCCAACAACTCTGCCCGTAAAGGGAAAGTGTCATCAAGGGCAAAATACCACAGGCCTGCAATCAGCACGTAGTCTTTGGGGCAGCTGAAAGTCGAACATGCTGCGCGGCAGCACGTGTCCTGCCCGAACCATTTGTATACATCTTTGCTGACATTCAGAACATCTAAGCAGCCCCCTCAAACGAGCAAGCGCAAGAACAAATGCCGGAACACGGCCTGCTGGACTGTGCAGTATCCTGGTGGCTGTTTGAATTCGCACGTCTGCAGCTGTCCTCGCTGCTGCCCGCAACGTCTTCCGCACCTTCAGGCGCGCGTTCATCTTGCCGTCTTTCTGCTGATGTTGGCAGCCCATGCGAGCAAATATCACTAGCCCACATCAACCAATCCCTCCAACAACTCTGCCCGTAAAGGGAAAGTGTCATCAAGGGCAAAATACCACAGGCCTGCAATCAGCACGTAGTCTTTGGGGCAGCTGAAAGTCGAACATGCTGCGCGGCAGCACGTGTCCTGCCCGAACCATTTGTATACATCTCTGCTGACCTTCAGAACATCTAAGCAGCCCCCTCAAACGAGCAAGCGCAAGAACAAATGCCGGAACACGGCCTGCTGGACTGTGCAGTATCCTGGTGGCTGTTTCAATTCGCACGTCTGCAGCTGTCCTCGCTGCTGCCCGCAACGTTTTCCGCACCTTCAGGCGCGAGTTCATCTTGCCGTCTTTCTGCTGATGTTGAGAACCCATGCGAGCAATTATCACTAGCCCACATCAACCAATCCCTCCAACAGCATTCTGCTCGTAAAAGGGAAAGTGTCATCAGGGGCAAACTTCCACGGGCCTGCAATCAGCGCGTAGTCTTTGGGGCAGCTGAAAGTCGAACATGCTGTGCGGCAGCACGTGTCCTGACCGAACCATTTGTATAAATCTTTGCTGACCCTCAGAACTTGCAAGAGCTTGCAACAGCCTGCTCACTTCGATTCAGAAGCAATGCCCTCAAACGAGCAAGCGCAAGAAGACACATGCACAGATGTCGGAACACGGTTTGCTGGACTGTGCAGTAACCCTGTGATTGCTTCAATTCGCACGTCTGCAGCTGTCCTCGCGGCTGCCCACAACGTCTTTCGCACCTTCAGGCGCGAGTTCATCTGCTGAGGTTGGGAACCCATGCGGGCAAATATCACCAGCCCACATCAACCAATCCCTCCAACAGGATTTCTGCTCGTATAAGGGAAAGTGTCATCAAGGGCAAAATACCACAGGCCTTCAATCAACACGTAGTCTTTGGGGCAGCTGAAAGTCGAACATGCTGCGCGGCAGCACATGTCCTGACCGAACCATGTGTATACATCTTTGCTTGACCTTCAGAACTTGCAAGAGCTTGCAACATCTTGCTCACTTCGATTCAGAAGCAGCCCCCTCAAACGAGCAAGCGCAAGAAGACACATGCACAAATGCCGGAAAACAGCCTGCTGGACTGTGCAGTATCCTGGTGGCTGTTTCAATTCGCACGTCTGCAGCTGTCCTCGCTGCTGCCCGCAAAGTCTTTCGCACCTTCCGGCGGTTGGGAACCCATTCAAGCAAATCTCACTAGCCCACATCAACCAATCCCACAAGCAGCTTTCTGCTCGTAAAGGGAAACTGTGTCATCAAGGGCGAAATGCCACAGGCCTGCAATCAGCACGTAGTCTTTGGGGCAGCTGAAAGTGGAACATGCTGCGCGGCAGCACGTATCCTGACCGAACCATTTGTATACATCTTTGCTGACCTTCAAATCATCTTGCAACAGCTTTCAACATCTTGCTCATGTCGATTCAGAAGCAGCCCCCTCAAGCGAGCAAGCGCAAGAAGACACATGCACAAATGCCGGAACACAGCCGGCTGGACTGTGCAGTATCCTGGTGGCTGTTTCAATTCGCACGTCTGCAGCTGTCCTCGCTGCTGCCCGCAACGTCTTCCGCACCTTCAGGCGCGAGTTCATCTTGCCGTCTTTCTGCTGATGTTGAGAACCCATGCGAGCAATTATCACTAGCCCACATCAACCAATCCCTCCAACAGCATTCTGCTCGTAAAAGGGAAAGTGTCATCAGGGGCAAACTTCCACGGGCCTGCAATCAGCGCGTAGTCTTTGGGGCAGCTGAAAGTCGAACATGCTGTGCGGCAGCACACGTCCTGGTCGAAGCCATTCTCCACTTATGTCCCTGTGCCCTGGTGTTGGTATTTAAAAGCAGCGTATATGCATCGCATGAATACTAAGCACTATCATGAGTATTACGATGACTATTCTATACCCTGCACTTCGCTTCCAACTCAGAAGCTGGAATGGCTCCATCTGCAAATCATGACAACTCCGAGAACAAGCGGAATAGAACCAAATCCCAGCCGACAGCAACACCGCAAACAAACAACATCATCAACCATACTCGTAATATAACGCAATTCGCTACATGCTCGTGTGCCGGGCGTCATCTGTCTCGCCAGCGAGGCCATCTGCCCCCGACCTCCGAGCTTGCCCTGGTGGGCAATGGTGGAGTTCGCATGACTTCTGGCACGTGCCGCCCACATCCACCTGGGGGATTTCCCAAAAATTGGGGACCCTTTTTGGGTGTCCATACTGAGGACTATAATATTTTGGTGGTCTCTACTGGGGCCCCCTCTATGATGGGAAACTAGCACATCCACCTCCAAAGTGTCGCAGGCTTTGGCACAGTGGCCCTTGAGTGCTCGCACGTAGCGGCAGCCTGTACAGTCGGAGCTTGCCGGGCCGGAGCATCCGGCAGAGTTGCATAGACCATGGCAGAGGAAGCCGATGCGCAGCGACACCTCCTTGTGGCAATGGGCTGTTGCGCAATTTACTCGTTGCCATCCTCGGAAGGACTTGAACTCTGTGGCACGGATGCTGTCAAAGTCGAAAGGGCAAGTGTCGTTGGAAGCGAGGATGAATGCGTCTTTGTCTCCAACTTTGAGGTGCCATCTGCCCGTATGAAAAGACAAACTTGCGGGCTTTGTTGAAGTCGCTTCCTTGCCCAGCTCCTTTTCGTAGAGAGGTCGAGCCTCTTGCATCTTGTGCACGCTGCGGGCTGTCACCAAAGGCCCAAACTTAGACATGGTTTGCACATCCTCCTTCCATGTCCAAGTTCCAGAGACTTCCTGGGGTTGATGGGGGCTCTATCAGAATCTGAAACTCTTATGGTTTGTGTTGGAGTCTATAGGCTTCTGGTCCATGATGCTCCAACATAGTGATTTCCAGGAACTCCCATAAACCCCAAGCCTTAAACCCTCCCCCCAATACTAAAACACCATTTCCAGTGACATCCCAGTTTCTGAGGCGTTGTCAGCCCACAAGATGAACCTGCACTGTGGATTCAGTTTAGGGTTTAGGCTTCGCGAGGTGGCGCAAAAGGGCTTATGTACAGGATTCACAACCATTTTCAACCATTCGATACTGTTCATAAAAATCTGCGTAGCAAGAGCCCCTGGGGGCCGGGACTGAAGGAGGGCCTTGGCGGCCTGGAGGGGGGCCGGGGCTGGGAAGAGAAAAAGCAGCAGCGCCGTGAGTTTAAGGTGTAGGGATTCTTCGTGATTTACCTACAGTTTCGAATAGTTTCTATCTATCTTCCATGTTCTTGTCCATCTCGTTTTGGGTACCCGTCCTCCTGCATGTCTAAGAGAGGTCACACTAACCGGTGACGAACCTAAACCCTACACATCCCCGAACCCCAAACGCAAGGTCAAGGAACTTGGAATTTTCAGAGCTCGTCATCGGCTGGACTGAGCCAGCGATCTGCTTGCCATCCGGCGACTCCCAGGAGGTTGCCTGCTCTACCTCCGGCAAGGGTTGGGGTTTAGGGTTAGGCTTTAGGCTTTAGGGACTTGGGGTTTAGCGATTCAGGCTTCGGGGCTTCATCCACCTCTGGTTAGCAAGGAATGAAGGAATGGACAGGACAATGGAAGCCACTACGTGATGGGGAATGAGATGGGGACTGCTATAAGGACCTATTCCTTCATTTCTTGCTAACCGAAGGTACGTGATCCACCTGCGTTACGCCATTCTCCTTGCGTTGCACCAGAGATCGGTAGAGGTACTTTACGGGCTGCTCCTGGAAAAAGTGGTCCAGAACAAGCCCCCGCCCCCCCGCCCCCAGCAAAGACAAATCGAACACGTGTCAAGGAGGCTCCTGGAAGAAGTGGGGCTTGTATTGACTGAAAACCCAGGCGTCTTCGTAGGGCGGCTCCCAGCTTCGGTCATGCTGGAAGAAAAGCTGCATCTTGCCAGAGGCGCGGTGGAAGCTTGGGAGGTTTTCGTGGTAGCCGACGAACTCATACACGCCATTCACATCGGCATCGAAAGAGTTTACCACAAGCATGGAGTGGCTCGGCCTCGCGGCTTTGGAATGAGAGCACTCTGGACTATTGGGGCTTAGGGCTTACGCTCTCGCACCCGGACCAGCCAGATGAGGTTCATGGTGAACACTGTCTCACGAGCCGCCGACTAACCACCGGGCCCGCGCAGGTCATCACATAGGGTTTGGGGATTGAGGTTGTCGCCCCGCCAGCAATGAAGAATCCGACGGGGAATCAAAGGCAGAATCCATAGGGAAATGAACTGGGCACCCGGGACAATGGGGTAATCGCACCTGTGCGTCCCGGCGCCCAGGTGCCACGTTGTAACGCAAGCAACTGAAGCGAAGACGATAAACAGCCTTGGTCCACACATGTCCACACTTGCATTGTGTTGCACAGCAGGACAGAAGGTGGATGAAGGTGGATAGGCCGAGGCTTGATGTCACCGACTCAACAGCCACGTGGCACATAGAAAAAGCCCTTCGGGAGCTGCGCACGCCGTTCTGAGACCTGCACAGGCCGAGGTGACTCTGTGGCTAATGCAATGTGGGTTTGCTTTTAAGGACTTGAAATAGATTCACCCTGCTACCGGCGCCCCATTGGGTTAAGCGTTTGGGTTTACATACGTCTACCTATCCTTCGACAATTTTCATGAAGTAATAATGAATAGCAACGTAGCAGCCCAGCTGGGCGCCCCACATATTCTGGATCCGAAGACGGAGCTGGCTGAGGTGGCAAAGCAGCATACTCCTCCTGGAGGGTTTGGGGAGTTTTGGCGCTTTAGTGCTTTGCATGTCACCACCAGCTGGGCATTTGGGGACTTCCAAAGTTGGGGATCCCCTTGGGAGTCCCCGAAATGAAGACGATGATTTCCTGGGCCTTTGACGGGGTACCCCTAGCTTGAGAAACTGCCATGTGCGAAAGCCTGTACCGGTTAACAACAAACACCCAAAAAAGTGTGGGCCGTCTCCAGAAAAAGGACCCTGTTTCTATACACCCCAAATAATACGATGATTCTTATGATGGGGACCCCGGAAAAAAGGGACCACTAAGCTCTGGAAGCACTGATCCTTCATCGCTAACCCCACCTTTTGAGAAGGACTCCTCATTTCTGGAAGCCCAAAACCCACAAGTCCCATGTGCACCTCGTGGTCCAAGACTTGAAGGAAACACACAAAGCTGATCAGAAGCCTCGGGGCTTTCGCAGTGGCATCCCAAGAACGATGACTCAAGGCACTGTAGGGCTTTGGGGAAACGATTGCTGGTCAAGCTGCTGCAGCGTGTCTGGGATTCCCAGGCACACCAGCGTCCATGTTCTGATCTCAAAGTACTCCAAGTATAAGACGAAGCCCAGCAAGCCGATGAAGCCAAGTCGGCAAAGAAACGAAGCGCCTGGGCCGGGTTACTGGAGGGTTTAGGGTTACGGAATTGAGATGTACAGCTTAGAACTTCGGGCTCAAAGATTTTAAGGTTAAAGGTGTAGGTTTAGGGTGTAGGGGTTTGGGGTTTAGGGTCTTTAGAGGACCATGCCACATTGCTTCCGCATCTTGCATGAATGATAGGAACTTCCTGGAACGAACACCACTTTATCCGTTAGACCGATTACTTCAGGCTTCAAGCTATCATTCGCCTCGGGCCGGGCCGAAGCAGTCAGAGGTTTTGAAGGGAGCAGCTGATTCAAGCCGAGCCCAACTCCCACCCTGCTCCCTGTGCCCCGGCTGACAATGAGCCTGCTGTGCTGATAACAAGGCGGTGCAGGCTCTCAGGCCTGTGAAGGATTTGGGGCGAAAACCACTGTTTTCAGGCCTCCCGGCCCAACCTTTCCGTCGACCTGTTTCTGAGCGCTCTTACTTTGCGGGCTCTGGTACCAGCCATCTCCGTTCATGCCTCAACCCAAACAGCCGGGCCGTCGACCAGTGTTTACAATCATGCTCTAAAATGTGGCTAAAAGTGCGAATAGTCTCTTTGTTGTTACTACTATGGTTGCTACTGTTTTGTTATTGTTGTTAATCTTCTTGTTCTTAGTATTGTTTTGTTTATGAGATTTGTTGATTCTTATTAGTCTTGTTACTATCACAATTGTAATGGATTCCCGGGAGGTCTAGGAGCAAAGACGGCTACAACAAGAGGCGAAGGGTTGTGAACGAGAGCAAACAATCATCAGTCAGCACAAGAAGATGAAGAAGGGTCATTAACCCCCTGCCCTTAAAACAAGCACCACACTCGCCCCCCCAGCATTAAGTACATATCCCTATGGTACAAGTCGAATTTCTTGGAAGTCCATAATATTACAGGGTGGGGGGATTTTACATAAGTGTGAGTCAACCCATACATAGCTGCTACATATTCATTGTTTCGATGTAATTTTTCATTTGATTCTCCATGATTGGTAGGGCTAAATCCCCAACCTCTTAACCCTGAATCTGAAATCCTAGTCTGTTGACTCCCTAGAAGGTGTAGTTACAGGCTGGTTTTTGTGCTACTTTTTTTGCCATGTGCCGAAAACACCCTCTTGCGCGAACTTTTCGCATTGTTGCACATGCTCTCCGTCTCCTCTTGTGTTTGTGCACAATTGCCTTTTTGTTGTGGTCGTGGTCCCAAAACAAAGGCAACAACACTCACGTGGTTTTTTTGTACATTGTTATTGGTGCGAATTTGGTCCAGGCCTCAAAAAAAAGTTGCCTCCGTGGCATATTCTTCATCTTTTCCCTTTTTTTGCTGTCTCCCAACCTGCTCCGTTTGCGTTTTTCAATCTTTTCTGCTGCTAATGCTGTAATATCGTTTTGGATTTTCAATTTCCATGGTCTTGGCGTTGGGGCGTGGGTGGGTGGGGGGTAACACTGTATCCTAGTTTCCGTGTGGGGATCATCACCATCACATGACCATCACCATCAATATCGTCACACACCATCGTCATCATCACCTCCGTCATCCTCAGCAGCAGCACCATCATCGCCATCATCATTGCCAAAATCATGATCACCATCATCATCTCCATCATCATCATCACCACCATCGCCACCATCATGATCGGCATAACCATCATGATCATCATCAGCACCACCATCATCATCATGGCCATCATCGCCATCCTCCTCCTCCTCCTCCTCCTCCTCCTCCTCCTCATCATCACAAACATCACCATCATCACCACCGTCATCACCATCATGACCATCATGATCATCACCATCCTCATGAGCATCAGGCGAGTAAAGACCTACCGCATAAAAGTTTATCTCCATGAACATTAAGCACAAAAACCTGCAATACACAACCAGCCCTGTAACTGAACCCGTAGGGCTGAGTCCTAAGTAAACCCATGGTCCATCCCGTGGCCTGAACTCCAATGCAAACCAGCATTGAAATACGGATCGGTCTGCAGGCCATACCTTGCGGAATTGGGGTTTGGGGTGGGCTTAGGGTTTCGGCGTTAGGGTTTGGCGTCTAAGGGTTTAGGCTGTGGGGCTGTAAGGCTTTTAGGGTCTTTGGGGGACAGGCGGGGGGTGAATATTCGCGGGAGGTACTCCCAAAATCACCTGGTATAACCCACATATAATCCTTCTTCTGCTTAACAAGCAAATGCAAGCAACAAAAGAATGGAAAAGAAGATGGGAACTACTTTTGTATCGGAGTTAGATTGGATGCTGGGCCTAATGCTGATGAGTTAAATCTAACCGCAGGTAGGGTACAGGCGTGCTTGTGTAGGAGCGAGGAAGCATCCGAGCACAATCAGAACTGCCGGGTTCACAATGAAGGCCAGGGGGTACCCCCTGAGGTGTTGCAGTCCGTCTTTCTTGCATCTCAGCATCGCCATATGCAACATCAGGTGTAGCAATAGAAAGGCGGAATGCCCCGTCAGCATCCAGGTGCGTAACATGCTGCCGCCTACCTGCGACGTGAAGTAGATCCTGCAAGCGCAGCTCATGATACCGAGCATGTCGACTCCAAGAGCCAAGTCGAAGAAGTCTGTCAAGGCCCTGTCGGGGATGTGTCGAGTCGGTGGTGGGAGGTCATTGCCGTCGTACAGCACCTTTGAAGGGCATCTACTGCAGAAGCCTTCACAATTGGTATGTATAGGGATATTATCCCCTAACAGTGGAAAATCTAACAGACACTAGGCTTAATGTGAGCACCACGTTGACGAACTCGCCGGCGACGCCAACGTAGAGGTTGATCATGGAGAAGATTATGCCCAACCATTGGGACACACGAAGACCCACACCAACTTGGGCCTGAATCCAGATTATGAGCATCTGGATCATGGTCTGAACTACATCTTCAAACAGGCGCGGGACGAGAGAGATGTGCTCGATGGTTGTCTGCATCTCGGCAAGCTGTTTCTCAAGCACAGCCTTCTGCGACGCGTCCGCAATTTCGGCCGTCTGCAGCTTCTCCTTGCTATATCCCACCAGAATTCTTCGGCTCCCGACGTTGAACAGTGACAAAAAGTCGACCAAATAGGTCCAACGCCCGCACGTTTGCCTGAGAAAGGTGAAGCCCTCCTTTGTCTTGGCAAGCTTGCTCCGTGTGTAGCAGGCGACGAACATGTTCAGGACGAGGACGCTTGCGAAGTGCATGTTAAGCAATCCCACCTAACTTCTCTTAAGCCCAACGAGAACACACTTCAGTCATTCACAAAAAAGACTAAGTCAAAGAAACCCCAAAGTCCAACGATTCAGTCTTCAGCTAAGCAACGGCTTTATGCACCAGCTGAAGCTGGATACCACGGAGGTCAACGTTGTTGTAGACATCTGAGGCAATGTCGTTAATCTCCAGGACAGTCTTTGCAATAGCCGTGCCTTGGGTTTGGTAGGTTTGCACTGGCTTGTATGGTAGTTTACCAAACTAGGGGGACCCCAATATAGACCCCAAAAAACTATACTATAGTCCTTAATATCGGGACTCTTAAAAGGGCACCTCCAACTTTGGGAAACCCCCAATATGGTTTCGACATGTTTCGGCAAAGATGCAGCCCAGTCACCTAAAGGTTTATACTCAGCCGTCGACTTGAAGGCCTCTCCAGCTGCGAGCACGAGGGGCCATTTTCCGGTTTCCATGTCTGCGAAGCAGCGGCACACAGCCAACTCTAGCCCTTGAGTGCCGCTTGGTGGGCATGCGAATTTGCCAAATGAGACTGAACCAAGGGCGGATAAACGCAGATGTAATCATCAGTTGGGATGCTGGGATATTTTCCACCCTTGTCACCACAAGCATTGCCGAGCAACTCACGCAAACTGTTTTCTTGGCGGCTTGGAGGAGCATAGAGCAGTTTCCCAAAATAGGGGGACCTCAAAATATAGACCCCAAAATTCTATAGTCCTTATTATGGGGACCCCACAAAAGGTACCCCTAATTTTGGGAAACCCCCACGTCGACGCAGGTGAGACTTCACCAGGGCCACGACACGGCAGCCTTGGCAGAGCATAGCTCGAAGCGAGCCTCTGGGGTGTCGGGTTTAGGGTGGGTATCAGTGCGAGCGCGCTTGCGTAGCAGAGGTCCTACCCCAACCTCCCTAACTATTCTCCATTAGGGTTTAGGGTACCCTCCCCCAGACCCCCGTAGCAAGGGGGGCTTCCTGATCCCTTTTCGCCTTAGTTTTGGTGTCACCCCGCCGCAGCCAGCATCTTCAGCCGATGCACGGCGACTTGGCAGTCGAGTTTCTAGATCTGGGTTCCATGAACAAAAGAGGATCGAGCAACTGCTGGGGTACCGGAGGCCTTGGCCGGCCTCTACACGTGGATCTTCCTAAGAGGGTTTTGGAACCTTGAAAACCACTGTGAGGCTCCTGGGAGGATTCTAGCCTTGAAACAACGAGCCGTACGAAAACTTTTGGAGGCGCTCCTGGGAGGGGCCCTGAAAGGCCCTTGAGGTTGCTGTAGCCTGTGCGCGGCCCTTGCGGCCTGGATTGTGGAGCTTGTGCCCTTGCAGGGCCCTGATTGGGAGCCCCTCTCGTTGGGTGCTCCCCCCCACAGGTCGACCTACACCATAGATGTCGAGGGGCAACCCTAAACCTTAAACCTGCAGTCAACAATCACAGTTGCAGTAGTCTCGCAGGCCTACTGTGTACCTGCGCCCCTTGTGATATATCTGAGGCCAACACATACATTGCCCGGAATGGAGTACTGCTAATGCTGCACCTTGCAGCGTAGGTCTTCAGCTCAAGGGATATAACTTTTTTGGAGAAAAGGAACCTGCACAAACATGCACAGGGCTTAGGCTCAGAAGTTCAGGCTCACAAGACAATGGGGCAAGTCGAAGCTGCAATGTGGCTCTGCAGTGCGATTTCCTGTTGAGGCTGCATGTCGCCTACGTCGTGTGTGAACATAGAACACATCAAAGTCACTTTGGGGCAAGCAAGTTCCGCCACTGCTCGGTTCAGAATCTCCACACCTGTGACATTTGACACGACAACCCGCCTGCAAACCTCCAGTGAGGCTCCCAAGAACTGCCTTGAAGAGACAAGGCATGAGACGGAAACTCAACATGGCAATTTCCCAAAACGGGGGGACCCTAATATAGACCCCAAAATACTATAGTTCTTATTGTGGACCCCCAAGAAGGTACCCCTAATTTTGGGAAACCCCTCCCACATCTTCAAGAAGGCTCACGCACCGCGGGCGCCGCACGGAAGCTCGCTCACACAATGGCGGGGATCATGAAGGTCACCTGGATTTCTCGCGCGGGACATGCCAAGAACTGCATCGTTTCCCAACGTGCACTCTGGCCCTGCGCTGGACGGCAACTCATCTATGAAGTGGATTACAGTGCATAGCCGGGGGATTGAGCGGTCTTTGGGCAAGGGATTAGGAGAAGTCCAAACGGAGACACTTGTGTTAAGACTTCGCATATGTGATGTCATTCCAACTCTTAGAATTCCAATTCCGTGTCTTAAACCATAAATGCGTAGCACGGCCAAACATTGCAAACCAAAATGCTTCTATGTGATTGCTACGCCTGCTTGGACTCTTGAGCTCCAAGGCCACCTAGGAGCAACAACGCTTAAACCCTCAAACCTAAACCCTAAACTCTGCATCGCACAGAATATCCAGCAGCTCCACGCGTGCCCAGTATGATCCACGACCCACCCCACCCCAAGCAGTCCGTGCAGCTGAAATAGTAGGTGAGCTGTCGCAGAGGGACGGCAGCTTGATGGCCCGAAGACGAGGTCTTATGTTGAATTCAATCATGTCTGGAGTTGGATGAAAGGTTCTGGGACTTTTCAAGTCTTGGATCGCTGATTTCCGAGCAGGAGCAGGAGTAGTAGTAGTAGTAGTGGTAGTAGTAGTAGTAGCAGCAATGGTAGTAGTGCTAGTAGTAAGCAGAAATGGTCGTGGCAGTCGTGAAAAAGCGGCAAGATTTCTTTGTCCACTCCCTCGCTTTCATGGCACGATTGCTATATGAAGCCAGCATTTGTGTGGAGCATCCGTGCTCTATGCACTGGTCTTCGTGGCGGACCAAACGTCCCGCGACTTCTTCGTGCAAAGTCCACAAATGACCAACATCTGGAGAAGCAGAGAGCGCGCATAATTCGATGTCTCCGAAGGATGGACGAACATGACCAACTCACCGGTTGGCCAACCCGGATCATGCCTTGCTAATTGTGGGGTGGCGCCGGTGAGATGTGCTAGGTCTGACCACAGTTCAACAGCAAACCATGGTGTCAACATCAGCATTGCCAGTATGACCCGGCAGTGATATACCAAAGGTGGGGCTCCGTGAGCGTCAGGACGAACTTGGCTCTCTGATCCATCTGAGCACCACAGACCATGCAGCATCAGCATTGCCAATGGAAGATGGCGAACAAAATTGGGACTCAGGAAGGCAAAGGTTCCCAGGACAAAGCACACCACAAGTGAACTCCATAACGTAAGAGTCCAGCGCACAACCTTGGAACAGGGCTTTCCAACATCGATGGCAAGGACGAGCAGAGGCCCCACGAACTCGACGAGCATCCACCCACACGACAGTAGGGCTGTCATCCATGGCGTGGTTTTTGCCCAAGCATTGAAGCCGGGAAAAAAGGACGCGGCATCTAGAGCTTTCCGCATCCAACTCCCCGTAAGAACTGACATCCAGCCAAGGTACCGCAGCTTCGCGAAGCCCGCTGCAAGGTAGTATGGTGCCAGTATGCTCATGACCAGAAACTTCCACAACCATGCCTGCGCAGAAGCATCTTCGGCGTCTGCCACCACGAAGGCAGCACCTACCACAAAGAAGTACGAGCAGCACACGCTGGTGGTGGGCGCGAACATCATGCCCAGGCTGCCGGAATAGAAATACATCGCCGCTCCCCAGGTATAGCACGCCGTACAAGTCCTTCTCCAGGTGCATGGTGCGGCCAGGAAGATACACCACGCAAACAGCATTGTGGCCAGAAGGCCAGCGTGAAACGAGGCATAGCCGTCAGCAGTGCTGTCGTCCAGATCTGGCATGAACAAATACGTGAGCCGCGGCATTAGATGCGGCGTTTCTGCGAGGCTGTGACCTTCCAGTAGGCCCAGCTCCTCCTTGGTGGAAGTCTCTGCCCTGTCTTTTCAATGCTTTGTTGAACTCCGGAAAAGCTAAAAAATAAAGGGATGCAGAAGGCAGCGGAGGCTCTGCTGGCCCGTACGGATGTCGCCGCACTCGTCTCAAGGTATCGGGCAAAGACAGAACTGCAAGCATCGGCGCTGTCAAGCCAAGCAGCTCAATCAGGAGCAACGTGCACACGCAGACTTTCAAGGAAATCGCTGAGAGCCGTGGGCCGCGATGCCACCAGGCGGTAAGCTTGTCGAGGCGGAAGGCCGAGCTGCTTGCTGCTGGAGGCAACCCAGGCCGCCATACCCCGAAGGCGGTGCAGAGAAGGACGAGTGGCACGAACCAGCAGGATCCGATGCCAAGCATGTTCTCGCGCATGTCTTGTGCCGTGATGATTGCCAGTCGGTTCGAAGGGGGGCTGATGTTATAAAGACAGATATGCGTGAAGACGGAGCAGAGCCTTGGGTGAGAGGCCTTCCACTCCACCCACTGTTGGTCCACCAATGCTGGCGCCCAATTCCCGGGCTGGTCCTGCGAAGGCTCACCTTAGGGTCATTCCATGCACCCACAGTTTTCGAAGTTGAAAAAAGACTCAGGGATCCTCCTAGTTGCTCTGCTTGCTTGGAACATCCTCCGCCTGCAAGTCTGGTCAACGCCAAACTCGGGCGGCTGAAGGATGTGCATGGCTGGATGAAAACAGCCAGAAGCCAGATTTGCAGACTCCGAAGTGACCATCGCTTCGGTAGACTCAGCATTTTCTGTACAATATGGATGCGTTCGGTGACGGGGTTTTCACCTCAGGCCTGTGAAGGCTGGAGCCAATGGGTTCAGGTGAGCAAAACAAGCGCATAAGGAATACGTCTTACAAGGCAATTATTTTCAAGGTACTGAGCGAGGAACTCGAATTTCGTGTTTGGGAATCTTAAAGCCTTGCAATTCCTTCAATTCTGAAATAAGTCAACGAAGACCCTTACATTGCAAGAAAAATTCAGCAGCTGGGGACACATAAGGCTACGCATAAGTCAGATGACAACGAAGACACCTGTTCGGGGTCAAGCTTCCATATCTTCATTCCCTTCATCATCTTCTTCAACACGATTTGAAGCCTTGCAGCCTGTACAGTCCCTGCCGTACCTCTATCTCGAAGCTTTGCGCATAGCTGCCAGCCTGCGCAACGGGCAAGGGTCTCAGTGACGACCACAAGATGCCGGGGAATTGAGCTTCCCCATTAAGCTTCTTTGGTTTTGCTTCGGAGCAACCTTACTTCGGGCCAGTCACCGTACCGTCCCAAGCTCCCTCACCTGACTTCCACTGCCACATCGTCTACGTTACTTTGCTACGGGCTTAGAGGGTATGCATCTCAAAAGCATTTGGGCACTCGAGGCAGCTGAAACATTTCGCGGCCTACTGTATCTCCTTCTGTTTGCACACGCTGAAATAGAAATGGAAACAAGCCAGCGCGCAGCCTGAGAGTTCTGTCCGGGACACACTATTACCGTTACCTATTGGCAGACGGTAGTTGCACCAAGGCTTCATGCGTCACCCATAGCAGTGGCATCGTTGGCCGGATCCAGTTGACTAGAACAGTTGGATGAATCATAATCTCACTCGCTGCTCACTTACTCGGCGCTGCAAAGAACTAAAGCTCCAGCGTCAGCCAAACCTTCGTCCCCTTGCCTTCTCTTTTTCTCGCTTTCTGTTCTACCTCTCCCCTGGGCCTCTCCAAACTAACCCCTTAAGCTTCTTGGTTTGCTGTGCAGACGTACCCAAGGGTTCGAGTCTCGAGGACATGCTGCCTACAGTTGAATCTCTCACTGTTCAGGATTTTGGGGCCAGTCAGAACGGAACATAAATGGAGTGTATCCGCATCTCCGACGACGTGTTCTTCTGGGTATTTCGCGGGTCACGCACTTATGTCGAAAGTCGTCAAAGCTGTAGGCCTTGTCTTGATGTCTTGAAACGGGCTCTGTAAGTCAGACAGTGCCAAGCTACGCCGACGATTTAGGCCGTGGGACCCCAAAGCTTACATCCATCAGTGGAAAAAGTGTTTAGCGTCGAGGCGATTGGAAGGATCAGGGCAAGCCCAACTTTGGGAGCCACCAATTGTGCCGATGCCCAACAAAGCCTCGACACCGGACTCCAAACCGGAAATTTACCACTCGCTTAAGATGCCAAACTCCGAACTCAAACATGGAACTTGCTAGTAAGCGCGCGCGTAAACGCATCATGAACTTGAAGCCTCCAAGCTTAGACTTCGTGCCCTGAACTCAGCATCTCTTGGCAGCGTGCTAGCGGCGGCTCGTCCGTGCCATGCTCGCAACAGACTGAAAGGCTTTGCTGCGCCGTGCCATCCAAACTAGGATCTCTGTGGATTCTTATACGACCTCAAAGCCAGATTTCCAACAGAGACAGAAGCCGACTCGATTGCCATGCATACGCGAATCTAAACTGGTAGACCACGGTGGCCTTGAGGCTCTCGGCGAAGTCGCCACAAAACTCGATGGGTTTGGGTGAGGTCATGCAGTTTACACCATCTTGACAGTTCAATGAACGATGGACCTTGGCTGGTGCTCTGTGTCGTTTAATGTGCTGCCTCCGTCGCGCAGGCAAGGGCTCTATCCTTTCCATATCGGCGGTAACCTTGCACTGAGCTACTCCTGGGGCGCTTGCTTCGAGATTTTGGCGCCCCAGAGGCGGAACAATCAAAAGCCTCGCGGTGTCCTCGTAATGCTGCAGTGAGAGTATTACTTAGGACATGCTGGGCAGCGCAGCAGCATTTTTGCGTTCTGACTACGTCCCGCCCTTGCCTGGTAGAGTGCGCTGTGAAACATCGGTAAATATCCTCAGGCAGATCACGGAGGCAATGACAATCTCAAGGAAAAGCGAGCGAACGTAGTTGGAGGAGGTCGAAGGAACGACCTGGGGCATGGGCAGCATGTGAAGACTTTATTCCTGCCTCATGCTGTCGGATTGCTTCCGTCATGATTTAGGCCCATGTCCGAAGATGGCCCAGGCACGTACATGGAAAGCTCTCCGACAGGCCAAAGCATGTCGTGGTAGGAATCATGCGGTGTTGCACCACCTGGGTCTACACAAAAATAAAGGGCCTCCATGTCTGGAGTTGCCTTTTAAACAACGCGAGAAAAGTTTCCCTGATCTCGCAGAGCGGCGGATGTGGTCAATATCTGACCACAGCTGATTGCAAAGCCACAGCATCATCAGGACCACGGCGTAGCCAACACGACATAACCAAGCTCTCGTCTGGCTGACATCAATGACTTCTTTGTCGGCGCCATTGGTCGGATGCCAAAGCCAAACAGAATAACACGACAGCATCAGCAAAGCTGTTTGGCGTACGAAGTTTGGACCAACCAGTGCCCAGCACACGACATGAAATAATGCCACTAGCAAGATCCAACCTCGATCAGGGATGCAGGGAGCTCGTGCTTCAAAAGAGCGTGGGGACTTACCATCACTATCCTCCAATGTGCAGCTTTCGTTATACCGTGCAGTAGGCGCAAGTGCGTTAAGGGGAAAGTTCTGGAGCCAAGTGGCAGGTTCGCAGCCAGCGGCTGAAGTCCGTGCTGGAGCTCGCAGTGTAAAGCACCAAAACAGGGAGCAAGAACTCTGCTGACAACACTCCTTGGCCAAAGCAAAGAAACGGGCTTGCGCTTTCGGCAAGACAGTCTGTGTGGGAGCTTCAAGCATGTATATGTGCATTTAAGGGCTCAGAACACCCTACAGTCGGGATGGCTAGTGTAGCAGCTCCGGGATCCTGTGCAGTTGCTCTTCGACGAGCTGGGTTCACCATTGCATACAGCGCATTATGGTAGCAGATCTGGTGAGCAGACCACATGCGCTGTGGGAGCATCTGCTAGCCTTTACAACATGCCGTACGACCAGCGGCTGCATGCCGCCTGATAGGCGGTGCCAACAGGAGTGGGCACTCAGCTTGGAGCCGTCCCCACCAGATCTTCGTCCATTGAACATCAGGTATGGTATAGAGGCATCTGATAATATATTCAGGGTGCAGGGCATGCAGATACGCATGCAGAAGACGCATAGCGTGCGCCCGATGCTCAAGCCCTTGTTGATTGAGGAGTCGACCCCTTACGTGACCGTGGCTGATATGATGCATATATTATAGATACATGTGGAAACGGAAATGTGGGTATAAATAAATCAAGAAAGAAATTAATACATATATATATATACATACCTCAGTATATATATATATATATACACACTATTCAGATGAGTTGCAAGCTGTACTGTCTGAAAGATCGTGCCTGCAGGCATCTTGGACCTGCCCTGGCTCGGTGCATCAAAGAGTAAAACAAAACAACAACAAATGCGTATTTCTTATAAAAGGGGATAAGTGCATGCATTGCAGTCTTTGCTTCTGACTGCATGGTCCGTTCTCACACATGAAGATCTGAAGTCTTACATATGCTTTTATAAACCGACCCGACACCTATACAGCATAGTTACAGGTAATCATATGCTTTCGTAGAGCTTCAAGAAAAATCATCGGGATCACAGTAGGTGTGAAAGTAACTACAACCAAGAAGCGAATCTAAGCTTGGTGGCATTGTTGGAAGTGGATGAGGATGCGCATTGCAGGCTACAGCCACGACTACTCGCAAGGTTTCAGGCACTAGATAGCTTAGGTCTGTCGGGGTCCTGCCTTCCGATAACTACATGTTTTGTGTTTGTTGGGTGGCCGCAGTGCTGCTCATATGCTTACATGCTGTGAATTTGGCGATTTGCTGGTCCAGGGCGGCACGGGTGGATCGTGGGGGGCTGGTATCACATATACGTATAGGGAAACCAACAAGAGAATATACATGCATGTATGTGTTTTTGTTTGCATATATGTATACACATGTGTGCATATGTATTTACATACTCACGCACACATATACATAACATATGTATATATAAGATGTGTGTGTATGTGTATATTATGTATAGATTATCCCTGCAACTAGACCGGTTCTGAGGCGATAGCACTTGTCATAACCATTTTTTTCAGTGACGACCCAGGCTCCGAAGGACATCATGGCTGGCGCCCAGGTCGACTGCGAGAGCCACGTATTCAAACCTGGAAAGATAGACCTGCCCACTGGGTTCAGGGGTTTAGGGTCTGCTTCGAGCACTTTTACACAACAGACGCAATGCCGATGACCGGCACTGTCGGCCGAAACTACAACATGCTACTATTGATGATCATGGTAACGGTAACCGTAGAAGCAATACTCCTCAGCAGCTATGAGGCTCAAGCGTTTCCGGATATTGGGATTTCTATTGCCTCACAAGGTGTAGCCTTCACTCGGTTTGAAACCGCCTGAGCGTGGTCCAGTTGCCGCAACCCAAGCCAAGCAAAGTTTGGTGGTTAGGCATCTAAACACCACGCAATTTACCTGTCAAGGGATTTCTGCACTCCCGCGACACAGACATTTCCCGATCAGTGTAGGTCGGTAGGAAGCTTCTTGTAGCACTAGCTCCGCAAGTAGTTGGTGGGCCAGCCAGACTAAAGCAAGCAGTCGTAAACGCTGGCATCAGACTCCCTGTCACGACAGCGCATGTCTATGCTTGCTTGGGGGCCGGCCAAAGCGATGATTTTTTACGGGATGAGAAATTCTGTTGTGCCAATGACATTGGGCTTCTTGTCTGGAATTATCCGACGGTGACTTGTCGGTTAGATGGAAGGTTAAAATTACCAAGGAGCAGAACCGAAGCAACCGAGGCCCATAACCGAATATTCGCGGTCACAGGACAGAAAGCTTTCAAAGGCCTGTCCACCATCGCAGCCAGAGTCGGCTTCAGCCAGCTCCCGGAGAGCATGGAGGCCCAGCCTGCACTCGAAACGGCGGTTAGCCGCGGCTGCTTGGAGTGCTTTTCGAACTGCAGAAATGGGAGCCATTGTTGCATATCCCACTGTCAATATCCGCGTCGGGATCTTTGAACTGAAAGCCTCGCCTTCTTGGCAATTTAACAGAACTTGAACATGGATTTTCACACAGTGACTGTGCGTTGACAAGGCTGCAACATCAGAAATCGCCATGTGAACCGGGACTACGCAGGTATCCAAGGACGACTTCTGTGGGTATTCCTTGCTGGCACCAGGAGAAAAAACTGTACATTTGTGGGATACACGTTTGCCGTAAGTTTCCAGGCGGTATGAGCTACCAAGAAAGTGGTTCGGGTTCTGCTTGTGTGCACAACCTCTTGGGGAAGGCATTCCTGAGCCTCGACATCTTGAAGCCTGCCTTGGATTCCGTACGAAACGCAGGAATATCTGGTAAGAAAAATCGCAGCACAGAAAAACTCCGGCAACTTGCGGGGTCCTCCATAACGGAGCTTCGACACCCCTGCAGACAGATAGAAGGGCGCAAGCAGGCTGACCAGGAGGAACCTGCCAGTTGAGCTTCAAGGCCCCTAAAATTTTCAAGCGTGCTGCATGTCCGGCCCTGATCCTTAAAAGCAACACTTGAGCTTTAAGAGCTGCAGGGCACTCTGCTCTTCGTCACGCGAACTTGCGCAGGAACAACATCCACCATACGAGCGTTGACCATCGTCCCAAAGCTCAAAACCATGCAGATCCACAGAAATGCAACCCTCCAACCTCATTGAAATCATATGTCACTGCAGAACTCGTCAGACCCCTTCGTGAACCCTGCAAACCCCCGAGATGAAAGCCAAACCTGCGCACTTCACAGCTCGCATGACCAGACAGAGTTCAAAGGACCAATCCTTACACGCTTCAGCCACACATGTGCGTTGGTGCCGCGGTGCTTCCCCAGCCACGCTTGGGACCGCTGGCTCGTCTCCAAAGACGGCACCTTCACGGCTGCGCGAGATTGAATACGGGTCGTTGTCTTCTGGGCACTGCTTCCCGTTGCGAACATGAAGCAGATTCTTCTTCGGGCTTTGGATTGCTCTGTGTGTGTGTGCGCGAAATATTCGACAGGACCATGAACAAACGGGGTTCGGGGTCTGCTCTCTGTCGTCTCTACCTGTCTACTCTAGCCGCGGTTCACGGTACTTAGCGGTCGGCACCATGCAGGCTGCCACAAGGAAGAAGCAGGTGGCGTGGCTGTCGTAGCAAGGGATGTACATGATGATCAAGCTCCTGACTGAAGAAGGGGTGGCACATGCCAGAAAGCGCTTTCGGCATGAGGCTTCTGGCTTTAACATTGAAGGTGCCACGCCCTCCCACAGTATTCGGAAGGTCTACTCCAGGCCCAGGCTCGCCATGACCACGTAGACCGCGGCTCCCCAGACAAAGCAGGCCCAAGAAGACCTCCAAGAGCTGGGAAGCGCAAGGAAAGCGCACCAGGACGTGAGCAGCGAGGTTCGCAAAACGGAGAACACTGCGGCGTAGCTGTCAGCTGTGCTGTCGTTGAGGTTGGGCATGAAGAGGTAGGTCAGGTGGGGCAGTAGCTGTGCATCGGCCACGGTGAAGCCCGAAAGGAAGCCCAGTGCGGGATTCTTCCCGTAGGGGTGAGCGCGGACTCGGCGGATGATCTCAGGCAAAGTGAGGACGTCCTCCTCTGGCGCGGCCAAGCCGAGGAGCTCCACGAGCAGCAGCGCTGTGACAAAGACTTTCAAGGAGGCCAAAGTAATCCGAAACGGACCATCGCTCCACCAATCCAGAAAGTGAGAGCTGCTCTCGGTGCTCGTGTCTTCCGTGCTCCCTCCCTTGCTCTGGGCAGTGATCTCTGGCATTCTTCGGGCTCGGAGGCCGCATCCCGCACAAGCAAGGACGACCAGCGCGAACCAGCCCGAGCCGATGCCCAGCATCTTCTCCCACAAGTCCGAGATTGCCATGGTGGAGACCTGGAGGCTCCAGGGGAGGGGGGCAGTGGCTTCTTCCGATCCCTCCGTCACTTACTTGCCCTCACTTGCTCCTACTTTCTCTCGCACGCGCTCGTTTTCACGATCTCATGCATCGTGAAAACATGATAGTACGTCACAGCGGTAGTAGTAGTGGCAGCAGTGGTGGTTGTAGTAGTGGTAGTGGTAGCACCAGCAGGAGTGGGAGCAGGAGCAGTGTGAAAAGCAGAAGTTGCAATAGTCATCGTTTTCGCTTCAGGAGGAGGAGTGGAAGTCGTTGTCGTGGTGGTGGTGGTGGTCTCGGCATTTTCCGCAGTAGTAGGAGTGGGAGGAAATTACTAGGAGAGCTCTAAACCCAGTTTCGCATGGCGGAAACCTTGAACGAGGTGTTGTCGTTCTCCATGCAGAGGCCACGAAACAGTGAACAAACGCGGGAATGCGAGCGCTTCCATTCCGGCCACTGCTGCAGTGGCCGCAGGATGGGCGCGTCGTTCCTTTGCTTTCAAGGCTTTAGGGCTTGCGGGGAATCGTCGGAAGTGATCGCCTGGGTCTAGGGTTCAGTGGCTTGGAGAAGTAAGCAAGCCAGAGTCCAGAGTCCTGCATGCTAAGTTTACCATGTTGGGTGTGGTGGAGGGGTAACATACTGCCCAAAGGCACCATCAAAGCATGTTGTACTTTGGAACCAAGTGAGATAGTATCGACAAGACTGAAGACTGAACCTCTGAAGACATCAGCCCGCCAACGACGAAACCCAACGGCAGACTCCACCGCCCAGCCCGGCCCCCCCGAAAAACAGTGGTGCACATCGACGTCCAATGAAGCGCCGTCCTACGACCCCAGGAAGAGAAAGTTGTGTTTTCATTCCGAGGGGCGGCAGTGGCTCTGAGAGACTTGGCCTTGGCGTAGGTCCTGCGGTTGCGGGCTTGCACCAGCCGGGCGCGCCGGGCCGTCTCAGAGTCCCTTTAAGGATACTTAGAAGAAAAGTATACTATAGGACAGTTCCAAGGTAGCCACGGAGGTTTTTTCCGCGTCAGGATTCCGATCTTGAGCCGCAGAGCACTGCCCAAAACCCGAAGAGCCCCGAAAGGTTTACTGAAGACTGCAGAATCCTACCGGGCCGAGAGGCCTGGCCTGGCTCTGCCTCGAGCTTCACGAAGTTGGGTCTGCTGAAAGCTGCAGCTTGACGCGGGATCGCATGCAGGGCGACAAAGATGCCCAGCAAACGCAGCATCGAGATCATGGAGAGGGCAGCGAGAAGGGGAACAGGGGAACGGGATGCTGTTACCTAATTCGGGCTTCTTTGGGGCTCCGAAAAACTGCCTTCGGCATTGCCGGACACTTAAGCTCTGAAAGTGACGGGGCAATGGAGGTCGGGTTCGGTATGCTGCGGTGAGGGATTTATCACCGCAGCGCTTGAGAGAGAATGTGCAGCGTAGAAGTCCAGAGATTGGAACAACCCGTTCAAGGTCTGCTGGGCAGGTCCCATTCACGAGCATCTGCTGGCGGGTTCGGGAAAGGGTTAGGGACGCCTGCTGGTTGTAAGTTTTGCCACTCCCTATAGGCTGGCGACTGGCGGCCTTGGTGACAACTGCTTGACCTGTCTCGGCCCCGTTTCACACATGCCAGGAACAAGGATACAGAAAAGGGGTAGAGCGCAAAAAGGACAGCCTTGCTTGGCCACATTTCTCAAATTCCAGCCCGGCTCTTTTTTCCTCACAATGGGCGGTAATCTCCCAAGTCGTTTCGGCGGCGCCGAACTCCGATCGCCACCAAGATTCCAAGGGCCACAGCGAGGGCAAGGGAGCCCGTGACGCTAGTGAGGCTGAAGCTGAACCATCCTGCAAAAAGGCTGTTCACATCTTCTGCTGGTATTGAAGAACGCCCTTTTGTGACTTCATGTCTCAGCTGGATGGCATAGCCGTGCATGGAGCAACGGCGTGTCTAAAACCAACGAATCGGCGGTAATGTCAGAACCAAGGGCTCCTAGTGGCCTCTGGCCGCGGGCACAAGTGCTTGGCAACCCCTGTTGATCCACTGAAGCTCAGTCGGGCCCGTGAACATACCCTTACTTGTTTGGTTTCGTGGGGAGCTAGAGTTAAACATTTTTGGGATCATCTCGCCATTACAAATCTACTGCTGTGCACCTATCTGTTTGGCTTCGGCGTTTTCGAGGCAGCTCATCTTCAAAAATCCATCTGGCAGGCTAAGTTGTACTTTTTTCGTTAACCACATGTGCAGAACGACGCCGCAACATGAAGAACCTCGAACCAAGCAAAGTCTGAGTGACACCCCCTACTTGTACCGCGGACGATCCTTTAGCATGAGGCTGCGGTGCAGACCAGTGCTGGAGCAAACGCTGAGCAAGCTCCGCGGAGCCAGGAGGGTAGTAGGTGTCGTTGCCATCGCAGGCCTCGTAATCCTGGGAAGTTCTCTTACTCTGAATTCTGATGCTCAGGGGTCTTTAAGGCCACCCTACTCATGTCTGCGGAGACCCTTTGTGCTAGAAGTCTTGAAAGATGGAAGCGCCAGGGAGAATGGAGACTGGAGACATCAATCTTAAATGCATCGACGGTGGCGGCTGGCTACATGCGACAATTCCAAGAGAGCGACTTGCAGCTTTCGGAGAAACCTGCGCCTGTCTAAACTTTATGTGGTCTCAGGTAACGTCAAGGGTCATAGTCGCACTTCCACCGCACGACGTTGCAGGAGCAGGTGGCGAGGCGGCGAGTGTCGACAAAGATGGGCTGCCCGTGGCTGCTGTCGCAAAAAGTGAGTTGCGAGCAGTTCAAACCCATATCCTGCTCGTCGGACGGTTTCATGATGCTTCATGGTTGGACATGTGCAACACGGAGGTCGTTGCCAGCCAAGGTGAAAGCTTCAGCCAACCGCACACATGTGTCGGGCTCCGGATTGGCTTGGCGCTTCTCTAGCACCTACGAGTGCTTGACTTGTTGCTCTGCATAATTCGGTTCAGCTCTGATGATATGCCTATCCAACCGTGAGCTTCGCTACGCCGCCAGCCCTGTGAAGTGCCCATGCAACGTAGTCGGAATCTTGCCATGCAAGCCCCACCTCCGTCCAAAAGCTCCGCCCACACACGTCATGCGTGCCGCCACCGATGGCCCAGGAATTACTTGTGCAGGGTTGCACGACACCTCGGATCAAGAGCGCAAAGTGCCTCGGTAGTAGAGGTCTATGAGCTAGCCCTTTCCATATGTCTGTCGACCCCGTGCTTTTTGGGAAGCCTTTATTCATCCTTGGCCCTTCGCCCTTCGTCGAGCTGACCAGTCCCGGAGGCCGACATTCGGGCAGGAGCGCTCCGAGAGCAGGTACCCGGAACCGAAGACATCGCAGGCCTCCTCAAAGAACGGCAACAGGAACAAGCAAGTACTCGATGTCAGGTCAGATCAAAGCAACTCAGGCCACATCCGAACTACGAAAATTAACTATCACTGCGAAACTTAGCTATCTGCGTGGTCAGGCTTCAAGTGTGCCAGTTGAATCCGCTGAGGTGGAAGCAGCGGAGGAACGCAGAAAACGAACTACCTCAAGGGGAATCGTAGCCTAAGCTATTCAGCCGTGGTCTTCGCCTGTCCATGGCTCCATTTGCCGAACACCATGTCGTTAGGCAGAGGGTAGCCTCAGCTGCTGCAAGAGTGCCATCACCAACACCGAGGTGACAACAGCGAACACCAGAGTGTCGTCACTTCTTCAGATCCGATCGGCACTCAGAAACCAGGCCTAGTGTTTGTGTCATCTCAGTGGTGTGGAGACCCACAGTTAGCCCAAAGAGCATACTGGCCAACTTTGCGCACCAGGCAGCAACGCCCGAAGTCTTGATCCACCGGGCAGCTGCAAGTGCACGATCCGCCCATGTATCCTGCGCGACAGAAGGCGGCTTGGTCAGCTTGCGAAGGGGGCCACCAGGAGAGGATTTCATGATCCGAACCCGGGAAGCTTGCTTGTGGGTGGAAGGGGGTCCTTTGTCCACTTCATGCTCTTTCTTCTTGTGGCGCTTCGAACGGCGCACATGAGATACGTTGGATTTGGTCCTGCGCTCGGGCTGAGTGGAGCTTGGGCACGGTCTTCCAAACGGCTTTTTGCAGCATGCACATGTGTCTTCCTCCACTCATTTCCGGTCCGGTTTGAATGAGGTCATGCGAAAGTTTATGATAGGACTGGAAAGCCATCGCTGGCTTTCTTGACGTCTGAAGCCGAACTGTCAGAAAGCCAGCAGCCAAATGCATCAAGCGCTTTGCATCTTGACGCTTTTCGTGGGTCCGGGTCCCGTGGTTGTAAATCACTGTCGAGAGATCGAAGGTGGTCGTGGTAGTTGTCGAGTTGGCGTTTTTAAGCCTTCATGGAGTAGAGAGAGACAAAAAACCCAAAGAGTTCATGGAGGAATGGGGTACAATTACAACTACTATTACTACCATCTGTTCGAGTTCATGGCATCGAAACGGGACCCAACGCTCCAACACAGGGCTTCCCAAGGTCAAGTCGCCCACCGTCGAAGAAAGCGAGCGGCCACCATCCGGCAGTGGTGGTGCTCGTGGTGGGCCAAAGCCAATCCAAGGGCCAGTTGCCGTGAGCCGCCGAAGTGAGCGAGGTGGTGGTAGTCTGAAGAACCTGCCACAGCTTTTGCATTTTTACAGGCCAAGCTCGCGAGCGACAAGGCGGTCCTTTGGACGCAAGCAAGGACACCAAACCGACTTTGATGAGATACAGGAGTTGTTGCAGCTGGCAGTTCCGTGGTGGTTCCCTACTTTTGGGTTCACTTTCTCCAATTAGAACATACCAAGGCACAGTGGTCCCAGAGGTGGTGGTGTAGGTGGTCAAGGTCTGCGTAGTGCTGGTCAAGGTTCGGGTCGTCGTGGTGCTCGTGAGGGTAGTCGTGGAGGCAGGCAGTGGCAAGGCAGCTTCCAGCACCAGGTAATGAAGCAGAGCTCCAAAGGAGTCGTCATAGGTGATGGAAAACCTGGACACATACACATCCTCTCCGTAGCTACAGGAGAAGCAGGGTTACGATGCTAACATCAGCTTCAGTCGAACAAGCCGGCAGGAACAGAAACATCTTTTCCAGTAACTTCGGAGCCGCAGGGCGCGAGAAGCAAGATCCCTCTTCCTGTTTACCTGAACTTTGAGCCTACCTGTACGGCCAACCAACCCCGCAGCACCAGCCAAGCAGCCAGGACCAGGTGACTGAACAGGAGGTAGAACCCGTCAAATCCATCCCCAAAGATACCACAAAGGCATCGCGCTCCTCAAGGCTACGAGAGCACGCAACGTTTGCCGGGGCTGGCGGTTGCAGCACTGTGCCTTGATAGACTGCTAGCGGATACGAAGGGACGGTAAGAAACCCCTTGGCCCTTGAACCTAAGGACCTAATACCAAGCCCTGCGCCTCTACCTGAATTTCGATCGTGCTTCTTGCGCGGAGTCGCTGTCCCCGTTGCGGGAACGTGACCCGGACGTCTGAACACGTCCTATACAGCCTACGGTACCAGCGGACTCCAGCTCCCGGATCTGTGAATCCCATTGAGCCGAGGCTCGGGCAGCATGATCAGATACCTCGTGAGATAGCCCGTGGCGAACCAGGCCTCCTCGTTGACTCCGAAGATGGGCGGGCCGTTGATGCCGAAGCCTCCAAACAATCACGACGGAGAGAGTCACTGGCGAGAGTTGGGCGCCAGGCCCCAGTGCCACTAGAGGTCCCCGGTCAGAGGTCCCGGTCGGGTCCCCCCTTTTGCAAAGAAAGAGGAACCAGAAACAAAGAGGAGAAGATGCACAGAAGAAAGAAGGTCTCTCTGTGAAAGTGCCGGCGTGCTTGGCCGCCGAGGTGCAAGCGCCGCAGGTGCACATGCAGCAGCTGCTGTCCTCCGGAGATGTTGCGTGGTTCAACCACACGAGGAAGCCGTAGGTCGACACGACCTGCGAGGAAGTCTGAGTGGCGACGTGAGTGGGGGGGGAACCTCGTGATGCAGACACGGCTGGTGCCCTCGGCGCCTGCGGGAAGGAAGGCCGAGTCATTTCCCGGATGTAGTCCTTGCTGACCAGCTGAAACACCGAGGTCTTGTTGCTGGCCCAAGGCAGCCAATCCAGCGGCCAAGCTGGTGCAGACGAAATCGGCCAAGCGCCCCGGTTCATCAAGAGCTGGCCAATCCTGAGGAACTCCGAATTCTGAACCAGACTGGCTTCGTTGCAACTGCAACTGCCCCAGACACATTCAGCCGACTCAACCCCTCGGCCACAAAAACATGCCGTGTGCAGTGACTTGGGTTCGAGCTGCTTTGCTGTCGCAGATTGTACTATGGACCTGGTGTTTACCCGAACTGGAAGCACCTTCAAAGTTGCTGCGGGTTGTCAGCCTTGCATGCGCAGTTTGTGACATGCTGGCTGGTGGCACCCAGTGCGGTGCCGGCATAGTAGGCCCTTGTTTGAAGCACCAAGGCTCCGCGCCAGCTGTGGGCAGCTCATAAGCTGCCCTCCTCCGATAGAAATGTCCCCATCGAGACCGTCGTGATCAAAGAGGCCTGGCGAAAAGGGGGGCGCGGTCATCAAGAGGATCAGCTGCGCTGAAAGCACGGGCATGCCATTCCGAATTCCCCGGTGCATATTCAATTCACACAAAGTTTCGATGCACTTACCAATGGCATGCACAAAACTCGCCGATTCAGCATGGGCAGCTTGCATCTGAAAAGCTTTACTTTTTTTCAGGAATTTCCATAACACAAGACTGCTCGCGAGGTACAAGGACAGGCCGCCACGCGAAGCTCCAAAAGCTCGCGCAGGGCACGCCACATTTCACCAATGAAAACGAGTCAGAGCTGTTGCACATGGGCGCGAAGATGCGCTGATTTCAAGCATGTTGTGGAGTTGCGGCCTGCACCGACTACCCCCTCCAACCGTCGAGACTACACTCCGCCACACGTGTTGCACGGCAAAACTGCACTCCAAGGGTCAGATCCAGACCAGATCAGGGGATCCACACGAACATGCGCATGAAGATTCGCAGGTGAACGGAAGGTCGATATGTAAGTCAGTGCGCAAACAAACACACACACACACGCACACAAATTCTATACAAGTCGATTGTGCGAACACAAACAAACATATCTATCCGTCGAGTTCTCTATATCTCCATCTGTCTATCTGTCTACCTATCCATCTATGTACCTATCCATCTACCTATCTGCCTATCTGGCTATCTGCCTACCTACCTGACTATCTAACGATCCATACCACGATCGATCTAGCGATCCATCTGTGAATCCCGACTCTATCGATCCTTCTTGTTGTATTTGTTGTATGTACATGGGCACAAGCATGCATGTATGCGTACATCAGCATACATGCGTACGTACATACATGCATGCACGCATGCATGCGTGGCCTGCTGCACACATGTACATACATGCACACACAACGTGGTTAGATCTACTTAGTAATCTGCCCATCGAACAGTATGTCAAAAACCGTAAAGCCTTGCCCATGTACACATCGTCTTTTCCATCATGTCGACAAAGGCATGTACTGTTTACAATACGTCCGAACCGTAGAACCCCCGAGCCCGACCGCCCGTCAAATCTGTCCAGGCGTGTCACACCCAACACCCAGGCAATGACATGCACAATTACGGCGGCCATGCACACCATCCACAATGGTGAAGCGACTAAAGACACGCCATCGTCACCATCTGGGGTGAATACACTGCCCAACAGGAGATGTTCGGGGTGCGGGGAATTACGGATGCAACTGATGCAACCTGATCTCATGTGTGCGTATGTATGTACAGCCCCAATCCCACAGGTCTCCCGGATTGCACGCGATTCATGCGATTCAAACAGAATCGGTGGGATCCAAGACCCAAATTTGAAGCAAAGGTCTCTTGAAGCAACACGGAAACCCGGAGACAAACCCGATTACCATCCAATCGCGTTTATCGGCCTTAATCGGGTAAGCTCTGGGAGCCAACATCCGAAACACGTCTGGTGCTACCTTGGATCTTGGATCCCAAGACTACGACGACGGGTACTACTATTTCTACTGCTACTTCTGCTGCTACTAGTATTAGTACACGTACCAGCACTAGTGCCAGTTCCAAGTTCCAGTACAAGTACCAGTACTACTACTGCCACTGCCCCTGCCACGGTGACTCCGATTCCAGTACCGCCACTACACCTTCTTCTACTTTCTATCTCTGCTGTGACTTTTGAGGGATCAGAAGCTCTTGCTCCAGCTCTGGTGCTCTAAACCCCACAACCCCCATCCAACTAAACGCTGGTAAGCAGAGCAGGGAGCTGCTGCTCTTGCTCTTTCTGTGGCTCTTGGCTCCTTTTTCCCCTAATGCGGCGGGGACGACAAGAACAACGACAAAAACAACAACTACTACTACCACTACTACTACTACTACTACGACGACGGCGGCGACTACTACTACTACTACTACTACTACTACTACTACTACTACTACTACTACTACTACTACTACTCCTGCTGCTGCTGCTGCTGCTGCTGCTGCTGCTGCTACAACCACTACTACTTCTCCTAGTACTACAAGCTGCACTGTATTCGCAGACCTGCTGCTCATCCGCTCAACAATACTCAGCCCTTCAAACATCGCCTTCGGATATTGTGTATGTTGTGGATTTTGAGCAGTTGGGGGTATTTTTGATACTCTCAGAATTTCTGGCCAAGGTGGTTGCTTTTTCTCACATCTGGGGTGCAATTGCCCTGCCGATTGTTTTGCACCACGCAAAGCCCAGTTGTGTAGACATGTACATATATACATATACACATACACAAAATATCTGTATAGGTATGTATACAAATGGATGCGCCACGCATTTGTAGCCATTCGATGAAGGCACAAAGCATGGCGGCTTGATGCCCAGAAGGCCTGGAAGTCCCAAGGGCTTGGCGAACTGGTCCTCTGCCCAGTCCACGGGACTGGCGTAATGCTCTGATGTGAGCACTCGGATCCTGCTGTCTAGAACACGCTGTCTGGGCTTGGGCCCAGGGCAAACCAGAGAGAATATTGGGACGAAACCACAGGCATACATGCACGTGTGCATCTGTGTATATATACACACATGTATGCATGTATGTGTGTATATGTATGGATGAATCTGCTTGTGTGTTTGCACGCGCATAAATCCAACTATGCATACACGAGGACATACTACATACACCGGCTACATCTGGAACTCTTGTATTTACCAACATTCAAGAAGAACCCAAAAACTAAGCTTCTATCAGCTGCCCAGAATCAGGGCGCTCAGGTGCTGGATGTGCTCACCACTGTTGTATTCCTCAGATCTGCTTACTCGACACATGCATTCTCCAGGTACTGGGATCATCTTGCTCTCATGTCGCCTCCATCCCTGCTCGGCTGTCATGTTCAGAAGGGTCTCTGCCCCCGCCCCCCCCCCCCCCAAAGCAACCGAAGAACAAGAAGCAGAGTGATCGTTTGACTGCCCGGTGAAATGCCACTTGCGACTTCGGTGCCTCTTGTGACTTCTAGATGCGGGATCTAGCAGTCATCCTTGACTTCTGTGCCTGTTTTACTACAGGTCTTTGCTAGCGCAAATCAGACATCATTCCAACGATCTGGCGACCGACTCTGCCAAACCAGCAAAATCTGCTGCGGGGTTCAGGGCTTCACGGGTTGTTGGCCTGTTCACAGCTTTTTCTTTAAGGTTTAAGGTTCCAGGCTTATTAGGAAGAGGTTCGGGCTTGGTATGCTGCTATCGTGCTTCGGGCCGAAGGTATGGGGCTCTGAGCTTCAGGGTTCAACCTTTAAGGTTTGTGGGTGCAGGTTAGGTGCAAGTGTCTTGTGGGTAAGAGCGTAAAGGCGTTCGCCTCAAGTCTAGGTTTACGGGACTTTGCATTGTAACTTTGGGAGTTCGAGGACTTAAACTTTGCAGTTAGGTGTTTTCGTCTCAGGCTGCCGGAGTTTGGGTTCAGGCTTTTGCTTGCAGACGCTGGGTTGACAGTTCAAGGTTTAGTGATTGCTTGGAGGATCATGGGACTTAGTAAGTAAGGTTATAAGTACCCTAATTGGGGTTATAAGTTTAGTTACCCTAATAATAACCCTAGTTATTACGTCCCATGATCCTTTAAGTGAGGGCCGCAAAGCAGAGCCTTGAACTCCTGAATTTGCGGACTTCGCCAAGACCTCTTTACGAAAGAGAGATGTCACTACGTCCGAGGAGTCATCCGGCAAAAACCGTGTGGGCCCTCTCCCAAAGCCACATGCAACGACATAGCAGTTTTGCCGAGGTATACAAACACATTAACAATTGATACCTTCCTGGTAGACTACGACATAGCCACGACCACAGGAATAGCATGAGATTGCTCGAAGTAATGTCAGTCACAACAATGAGGGAATGGAAGTACATATGAGTCTATCGAATTCTGCATAAATCCACAAATTACTTGTATCTGTACATATACACACACACACCTGCTTGCATATACATACATACACACATGCGCACACGCCTTTTTGAGGAGCATCTACATACCCATATAGCTGTATATTCATCTTTAGGACATCGCCTCAGAATGCGCGGTACTGCATGACTTGCATGGCCACGAAGACCGGTATACATGCGTTTCAATCCTCCAGAACTGAAACCCACTTCCCCAGCAAATGCTCCATGGCTCCATGTCGGGAAGGTTCGGACCGGTGATGCTAACGGCTCTCGTGCTATTTCGCATTGGCAGGCCCAGCATCTTCGAGCGCTCTTCGTGTGGTCTTTATGTATTTGTGGTTCAGAAGTCTTAATAAATTTACACCTTCAACTGCTCGCAACCGAGGTTCGAATTTCACTCCTGGGGGTCCTTTGCCCAAGCCCGAGGTGTGAGTCATCAAGTGACGTGCAGTGATCAACGGCCAGTACCTGAAACCCAAAGCTTCGTGGATTTAGCAGATGTGGGAGTTTCCGGAAATATGGGACCCTAATATTATAATATAGTACCCTTTATGATAATAGGATCCTGGTTATAAGGATCCCAAAGTAAGGTACCCCTAAATTTTGGAAACTCCCATGTGTATTGGGGAAAAGTGGCTACTGCACGCTCGTCAAAATGTTCAAGCTGCAGCCAAGAGTCTCGCCACGGTCACCTGATTGTTAGCTTGTGCGGCACAGGTGCCCTGATTGACCCTTTACTTGGTGAAATTAAGGATGTTCATAGTTCATGGTACTTCCTGGACACTAGAGAAATCTCATGCCCCTATGCGTATGAATGAAACTGTCCGAAGTCAGCTGGGGCTTTCCGAAAATAGGGACCCTAATACAGTACCCCTAAATAGCATGATCCTTATTCTAAGGACCCCAAAATAAGGTACCCCTAATTTTCGCAAACCCCCATCCGGCATCTCCCGATTTTGTCTTCCAAGTCACCCCAGTAAGCAAAAGGCTTCACCTTATACTCCGCCAGGGGCCGGTCAATGTCCAGCCTGCCTCTCCGGGTCTGGGACGCTCTGCAGTGGGATGGCCATTCTCTTGACTTGGCAAAAACGGAGGAGACGTGGAGTTTCCGAAAAGAGGGGACCCTAATATAGTACCCCTAAATATACCCCTAATTTTCGGAAACTCCCACATCTCCGAGCCCAAGTGGCTCCCTTCCCTAGGCCTTGTGTGACCAAGACACCGATGAGCAGTGCACTCACGGTTTTCGCTGCGCTGTCCAGCTCAATCTGCTCGAAAGCATCGGCGCCGGGGGCATAATGCTCCTAGTTGCGCCAACTCGAAAGTTCAATGCTTGGTTCTGAGTGGCTTGGCAAACGAAGGCACGTGGTGGTGGTGGTGGTGGTGGTGGGGTGGTGGTGACAAAGCTGCGGTCTCACCATCATAATTACTTCATGGAACTCCTATCTGTTTCGCAAGGGTCGCAAGGTCATGCTGACTTCGCGAAACCAGATGCAGCTGTTGAAATCCACTTCCAACTTTTCCGAGGCTCGTAGACGAGCCGCCCCTTGTGCGCCACAAGGATGCCTTGGAAAGGCCAAACTCCGGCTTCAGACTCCCATCAACGAGGGCACTGAAGCCATCGTTTTCCCAGGCACGGGGTACGTTCAAAAGATTTCAAAACCATCTTCCGACATCTTGAGAAAGCTTGCTCAGAAGAAATCTCCCATCCTGCCCTTGCCGCCAAACTGCATCGACGCCCAGGAAAAGTCTTGAAGAGGTTCCTGAGCACCGCTTGCTTAGAGAACTTTCCCAGGCAGCTGAACAGAGATCCAGGAACTGTAACGCCAACCTTCGGAGAGCAGCTTTATACAGCGTGGTGACGTCAGCTGTGCTCCGTCTGAATTGAAGCTAGATCTCTTTCTCACCCCCGAAGACTCGAAGACTGAAGGTGTTGAGCATGAAATCTACTGACACCCCTACAATTCATACAGCGGCACAAGCAGTGGATTCTGTGCACTCTCCAGACATTGGTAGTCAGCACAAGGAACGTAAAACCCAAGCGCAAAAGACTCGTGTCGGCAGGCTGTCATGAGGAATACAAGCACGAAGCCGCAGGACGAAGGACACACCGAATCAACAATCGCCGAGCGACTTGAATCATACTGCGCCTGCTATTTAAGCAGCAGAAACAAGCAATCCAATACAGCAGATCGAACAAGAAATCGCCAATCCCGTACGGAGGAAGCCTAGAAAATAATGGAAAAACCAGTCAGAGGCATGCACGCCCTGCAAGAACTAACGAGTCACGGTCCATGGAAAACTTGACCCACAAAGGACCAAACCCAAACCTCGAAAGCACTGATGCTGAGACAAGCTTCCCCGCTCCCACTTGCAGGGGTTCGTGTCGGAACCAATCGACCACACCTGGCAGAGTCCAGGAAAGCACCGGGAATCGCCGAGGAATGTCAAAGCCCTCTGGGAACTACCTATTGCCATTATTACAATTATTGCTATTATTATTGCCATTATTACTATTATTACTACTATTACTATTTTTACTACTATTGCTATTATTACTATTGCTATTATTACTACTATTATATACTATTATTACTACTACTGCTATTATTACTATTATTGCTATCCGGAGGTTTATGCGTCAACGAGCTTTGGGCCCCTGACGCTTCCTCCAAGAAAAAGCGCCAATCCCCCTACCCTATAATGGGCTATATAATGGGTATATAACAGCTATATTAAAAGGTATACAACAGCTATATTAAGGGCATATAACAGCTATATTAAGGGTATATAACAGCTATATTAAGGGTATATAACAGCTATATTAAGGGCATATAACAGCTATATTAAGGGTATATACCTGGGGTCCTAACAAATCATCCTAGCCAGATGACCAACAAACTTAGCCTTGGTGAGTAGGGAATGGAAGGGGCCTTGTAAAGGGGTTTATAAGGGTTACTATAAGGGATCTAGAAGGGTAGTATAATATAGGGGCCTTAATAATCCTATATTATCTTACTTATGGTTAGCGGGGAATGGAAGAATGGTAGTAATAAGTTAGTAACCAAAGGTAAGCAGACCCCCCAGAACTCTGAACGCCGTCGTCATGTGCTGTGCCCTCCGCCTTGGGCCCAGGGACCGGCGCCGGGGCCCGACATCGCAAAAAACGCGAGCCAAGGAGGCCGGCGCCCGGCTGGAGGCAAACTTAAGCGCTTAGGGTTTAGGGTTTAAAGTTTAGGGTTTAGGGTTTAAGGTTTATAGTTTAGGGGTTTAGGGTTTTGGGGGCTATGCAGACCAGGATCTGCTACGAAGTCGCTGCTTCAACGAGCCTAGGGGTGAGACCCACTGGGAGCCTGGGAGCTGGCGGGTCGAAAGCGGGGAGTCAATGAGGTTTTGGGCTGTTTGGGGCTTCGGGTTCTTCGGCGAACAGAACGGAATGTGTAAGACAAAATATGACCTGGAGCTTGCACAGAATCGGCCGGAGCTGCACGTATCGCCAGTATCCTGGCAACTGCCGTGAAGCAGGCCTGCTTTTTCCTGTCAATCCACTGCTCTATGCGCCTCTCGCCTCTCTTCGTTTCCCGTGAGGCATTTGGAGGCTTGAGCCAACCGTTGCGAACCGGCGCATGCAACGAGAATTCAACAAAAACACATGTTGCGCTTGAACATCGGAAGCATGGACTGCTTACAGCTCACAAGCATTGACACGACGAAAGAAGCCACAAACAGTGCCAAACAGCCCTGTGCAACAACAAAGGTTTAGGTGCATGTTGACAAAGCCTTGCACTGAAGCATCGGGTTTCGATGCTTGTGTGGCCAAAGCCGCGCTTGGTCGCACTTCCAAACTGCAGCATGCGCATGACTTGTGAAGCTTTTCCATGCTTACGTGTCGCTCTTCTTGGCGGACCAAATGTCCCGCCACTTCTTCACGCAAAGGCCACAGCACACAAGAATCTCGAGAGACAGAGCGAAGGATGACGAACATGGAAAACTCACCAATTGGCCATCCTGGATCATGCTTTGAGAATTGTGGGGTGGCCCCGGTGAGATGTGATATGTCTGACCACACTTGAACTGCAAACCATGAGCTCAACAGCAGCATTGCCAGTATGACCCGGCAGTGATATGCCAAAGGTCGGGCGTCTTGAGCGTCAGGACGTTGGCTCTCAGATCCATCTGGGCACCAAAGCCCATGTAGGATCAGGATTGTCAACGGAACCTGGCGAACAAAATTTGGGCTGAGGAACACGAAGGCTCCCGCAAGAAAACCGAGGACAAAGCAACTCCACACCGTAAGCGTCCACTGCGCAACCTTGGAACATGGCTTGCCAACATTGATGGAAAGGACGAGCAGTGGCCCAACAAACTCGACGAGCATGCATCCGTGCGAAAACAACGCTGTCACCAATGGGGTGTGTGCTGCCCAGGCATTGAAGCCGGGGAAGAACGACGGGAAATTCAACAAGTTGCGCTGCATCCACGTTCCCGTCAGAACTGATATCCATCCAGCGTACCGCCACTTCGCGAAGCCAGCTACTAGGTAGTATGGCGCCAGAATGCTCATGACCAGAAACTTCCACAACCAGGCTTGAGCGAACGCATCTCCCAATTGGGGCACGACAAAGGTAGCCCCCATCAAAAAAAGTATGAAGAACATGTGCTCTGGGTGGGCACGAACATCATGCTCAGGCTTCCGAAATAGACATACATCGCCGCTCCCCAGGTGTAGCACGCTGTAGAGGTCATTCTCCAGGCGCATGGTGCGACTAGGAAGATGCACCACGCAACCAGCAGCGTGGCTCGAAGCACAGCATGAAAAGAAGCATAGGCATCGGCAGTGCCGTCGTTCAAGTCGGGCATGAACAAATACTGAAGCCGTGGCATCAGATGCGGTGACTCTGCCACGCCAGGACCTTCCATGAGTCCCAACTCGTCCTCGGCTTGGAATGTCAGAAACCCGGCCCGATATGACTAAGCAAAAACTAGCGGCTCCTATAGAGCCCCGTATTATGTACCATTCATGGAGAAGGTGCTCGCAACATGCCTAAACGACATGCCCACAACGCTAAGTTCGAATCCCTGACTGTGCAAGCTTCTTGCAATTGTTGCAATGCTTGTCCTCACATTGAAGGTTTGGACAAGTCTTGTTGTCAAGGATGCAACCCAGGGCAAACAGCACCACCGGCATCATCATGCACAGCAGCATCAAACGAATCAACCGCCGCAGCAGCAACACCACCACCGCACCAGCACCACTCGGTGCGCAATGCCAAAAAAGGCGACAAGCCTTATCAACTACCAAAGTTTCGGGCATGTTGGAAGTATGAGCGGAACTAACTGTCCATAAGTGCATAAGTACCCCATCGCACCACCACAAGCACTCATCACCTATACAATGTGCGGCCAAAGTTCTCCCGGTCCGTAGGGATGTCGCCGCACTCGTCTCAAGGCATCGGGCAACGAAAGGACTGCGGGCTCCGGTGCTGACAGGCCAAGCAGTTCAATGCAAAGCAGCATGCACAAATAGGCTTTCAACGACTTTACTGAAAGCTGTGGGCCACGATGCCACCAGGCAGTCAGTTTGTCGAGGCTGATGGCTGAGTTGCTGCTGGCAACCAAGGCCGCCATACCCCGAAGGCGGTGCAGAGAAGGACGAGTGGCGCAAACCAGCAGGAGCCAATGCCAAGCATCTGCTCGCGCATGTCTTGTGCCGTCATGACGGCGAGCTGGTTCGTAGGCCAGGCCATTTCACACAAGGGCCGGAATATTGAGCAGAACCTTGGGCGAGAGGCTTTCCACTCCGCCCACTGCGGTTCCACCAACGCCGGCGCCCAATTCGCAGGCTGTTCATGCAGCCACTCACCTGCGCACTTTCGCTTGCAAGGGCTTAAGGTACTAGTAGCACTCGGAATTCTCGTAGCTTCCTAGACTGTGGGGTTTCTTCGGAGACAATCCCCTGCCTGCGAGTGTCTTCAGAGAAAAGCTTGGGCGGCTGAAGGATGTGCATGGCTGGATGCCTGCTGCCAGAAGCCAGACAAACAAAAGCCGAAGTGGCCATGGCGGTGATGCCTTCAGCATCCAATGCGATGTACGGAAATTTGTAGGTTCGGTGAGGGGTTTCACCTCAGGTCCTTGAAGGCTTGAGCCAGTTGCCTCATGCCGACAACTACAAGTCTCCATGACCTTTGCTGTGCAGCCGGTCTGAACAACAAATGTCGCCCTCTAGTGAGGCATCTAGGTGCATGTTGACAAGGCCCTGCTCTGAAGTGTCGGGAATTGAAGCTTGAGTGGCCAAAGGCCGCCCATGGCCGCACTTTCAATCTGCAGCTTGCACGACTCGCGAAGCATGCTCCTGTCAGCCGCGTGCTTACGTGTCAGTCCCTCTTCGTGGGGGACCAAATGTCCCGCGACTTCTTCACACAAAGGCCGCAACTGACCAACATCTCGAGAGACAGAGAGCGTGCATAGTTTGATGTTTCCGAAGGATGGACGAACATGGAAAACTCACCAATTGGCCATCCTTCATCATGCTTCGAGAATTGCGGGGTGGCCCCGGTGAGACGTGCTATGTCTGACCACACTTGAACTGCAAACCATGAGCTCAACAGCAGCATTGCCAGTATGACCCGGCAGTGATATACCAAAGGCGGGGCGTCTTGATGATGCTGGCTCTCGGATCCATCTGAGCACCACAGCCCATGTAGAATCATGATTGCCAACGGAACCTGGCGAACAAAATTTGGGCTGAGGAACACGAAGGCTTCCGCACTCACTCCTACACCTACTCCTACTCCTCCTCCTACCACTACTGCTACTGCTACTACTACTACTACTGCTACTACTACCACTACCACCACCACCACTTCCACTTCCCCTTCCCTTCCGCTTCGACTTTTTCTTCTACTACTACGAAACCTACTACTACTACTACTACTACTACTACTACTACTACTACTACTACTACTACTACTACTACTACTACTACTACTACTACTACTACTACTTCTCCTCCTACTCCTACGCCTACGACCTCATACCTGGCCTGACACAAACATACCTGAGCAAATACCTTCGTGCGTTTACTTGGAAGGGAGGGCTTGCAGTAGTCTACGCAAAAAAAGAGGATGAACAACGAGACGAATGTATATCTGTGCCCCCACCGCGCCCCACCTTCTTATACATTCTAAGGTGGGGGGCTCGCCTACTCTTATTCCTACTGCTGCACCTGCTGCTGCTGGTACTTCTTCTACTGCTGCTACTACTACTGCCACTGCCACTGCCACTGATGCTCCCACTGCCACTACCACGACAACTTCAACTGCTACTACTGCTGCTGCTGCTACTGCTGCTGCTCCTTTTACTGCTGCTGCTTCTCCTGCTTCTTCTGAAAGTGCTTTTTCTGCCGCTTGTTGCTGCCAGAGAGAGTCTCAGACCTGAAACAACCGTCTTCGGTCAGCGCCAGGTGTTGCGCCCAGGTTTGATTGTGTCTACTAGGGGCCGGGAGCTTCGCTGCGCAATTGACGAGGGCATGGCAAATCAGAGTGTAGTGGGGCCCTTGAAGCGTATCTCCCTAACGTTCCGAGAAATACCATAATTAAGTCACTTGGACTTATTATTCTGATTATTAGGAGTAGTAGTGGTCGTAGTAGTAATAACAGTAAATAGTAGTAGTAGTAGTAGTAGTAGTAGTAGTAGTAGTAGTAGTAGTAGTAGTAGTAGTAGTAGTAGTAGTTGTAGTAGTGGTAGTAGTAGTAGTAGTAGTAGTAGTAGTAGTAGTAGTAGTAGTAGTAGTAGAGTAGTAGTAGTAGTAGTAGTAGTAGTAGTAGTAGTAGGAGTAGTAGTAGGAGTAGTAGTAGGAGTAACAGTAGCAGTAGCAGTGGCAGCAGTAGTATTGTGCCAGTACAAGGATGTCAAGCGTCTCTTTGCTGCTTGCTGCTAGCCGCTCAACAGTTCTCCTGGCATGGCTTTGCTTCATGTGCCGCTCTTAGCCACGGGCCAGATGTCTAGCGACTTCTTCACACAAAGGCCAACATACACCAGAGTCTCGAGAGACAGCGACCGCGCATAATTCGATGTCTCCGAAGGATAGACGAACATGCCGAACTCACCGATTGGCCACGCTGGATCATGCTTTGATAGCTGTGGGGTTACGCCGGTGAGATGTGCCAGATCTGACCACACTTGCACTGCAAACCACCCGCTGAACAGCACCATCGCCAAGACAACTCTGCAGTAGCACATTGATGTGGAGATGCCTTGAGATTCGCTACGGTGGCCCTCGGATCTGTCCGAAACCCAGAGGCCATAGAGAATCATGATCGTCAAAGGCACCTGGCGAATGAAGTTGGGTGAAAGGAAAAGCCAGGCTCCGAGGAGAAAGCACAGGACCAAGCAACTCCATGCTGTCACGGACCAAAGCGCCAGTTTGGAACATGGCTCTCCGGCATCAACGGCAAGGACGAGCAGAGGACCCACGAACTCGGTCAGCATACACCCGAACGAGAACAGGAACGTCATCAATGGGGTGTGGGCTGCCCAAGCATTGAAGCCGGGAAACAAGGAAGGGAAATCTAACAAGTCTTGCTGAATCCAGGTTCCCGTGAGAGCTGATGTCCAACCAGCGTATCGAAGCTTCCCGAAGCCTCCCGACAAATAATATGGCGCCAGTATGCACAGGACCAGATACTTCCACAACCATGCCTGCGCATGAGCACTGTCAGCATGTGGCACGACCAAGACAGCTCCCAGCACAAAGAAGTACGAGGAGCACACGCTCTCGGTGGGCGCGAACATAACGCCCAGGCTACCGAAATAGAAGTACATGGCTGCTCCCCAAGTAAAGCACACGGTGGAGGTCCTTTTCCAGGTGCCTGGTGTGACAAGGAAGATGCACCAGGCACCCAGCAGTGTGGCTCGTAGGCCAGTGTGAAACGAGGCATAGCCGTCAGCAGTGTTGTCGTCCAAATCTGGCATGAACAGGTACGTGAGCCGTGGCATTAGATGCGGCGAGTCTTCAAGGCTTTTGCCCACGAACAGCCCCGGCTCGTCCTTGGTGGGCTTGCTTTTCTCTCTTGGCTAGGCTCGTTACGGACATCACGCGACCCCTGAAGCACACCGATTTTCTCTTTCAGCGAAACCTTAGACATGACCGGACACAAAACAGCCTTGTCCAGAGTGCAGCAAAGCTTCTCCGGGCCCATATGGGTGTCTTCGCACTCTTCGCAGAATTTCTGGCACGGAGAGCACTGAGACCAGCGGTGATGACGCACCAAGCAGCTCAATCAGGAGCAACATGCAGACATAGACTTTCAAGGCAATCACTGAGAGTCGTGGGCCGCGATGCCACCAGGCAGTCAGTTTGTCGAGGCTGATGGCTGAGTTGCTTGCTGCTGGCGAACCAGGCCGCCAGACTCCGAAAGCTGTGCAGAGAAGGACCAGTGGCACGAACCAGCAGGAGCCAATGCCAAGCATCTGCTCACGCATGTCTTGCGCTGCCATCATGGCGACTCGAACTGAAGGGAAACCTCCGTCAGAGCACATCCGTTTGAATATGGAGCAGAGCCTGGGGTGAGAAGCTTTCCACTCTACCCACTGCGGGTCCACGAGTGCCGTCGCCCAATTCCCGGGCTGCAGCGAATCTGACTCACCTGTTCATTACGCACTGTGCATAAAAGTATCCGCAGTTACAGGAACCTCCTGGACTATTGGACCCTTTCCACTGCCTTGGAGTTTGGCTTTCAGAGAAAAGCTTGGGCGGCTGAAGGATGTGCTCGGCTGGACGATCGCGGCCAGAAGGCAAACAACGATGCCCCGAAGTGGCCATGGCGGTGACGCGTTCAGCATCCTAAGCAATGTATGGAAATGGATACATTCGGTGAGGGGTTTCACCTCAGGCCCGTGATGGCTTGAACCGATTGGCCCATGTGGCACAAGACACATGAATACTCGCAAGATCTGCATTCACAGCAGTCAGGAACGGATCAATGAACACATCCAACAACATCCAAACGGGAAACAACAATCAGGCAAGTCACAAGTGCGCCTCACGCCGATCATCGGGACTGCGGTCACCTGCACTTACTCCAAGCGAACTAGAACGTTTCGGAGCAGAGCACCACGGCTTGAACGCATAACAAAGTTGAAATCTGCACGTCTGACAAGGGCATGTTGACCAGTTTCGGGACTGCTTAGGGTCTGTGTTACTCGCGGACCTGCGATCCTTGCAAAGCAAAATCAGATGGTGGGAGCCGAAGATGACAACAGTTTTGAGGATCTGACCGTCTGCAAAACATCGGCACCTTTCCCAACGCACATCGAGAGAATCCCGATAATGCAATCTTCAGGTGCGAAAAGCTTCTTAGTCTTCTTCTGCATTTCTTGTCTTCATGCATCTTATTCTGATCCAAGTCTTGCAAAAGAGACCCTGGAGCTCTAACACCAAGCTTCGATCAGCAGTCAGCTTACAGTGCTTGGTCAGATTTGAGGCTAGTTCTCTCACCCTCGAAATGGTCGATTCTACATCTCGTGTTGAATGTGAAATCTTCTGACACCGCTAGTTTAATATACTATTATACAACACTCTCCAGACTTTGGCTGTCGGTGGATTAACCCAAGCTTTGGCAAAAGAAACGTGGGGCAGCGAGAATCAATGGCATCTCCAGTTGTCTTCTTTTCGAGGCCTGTGGCACGGTGCACACCATGCGAAGCCCAGAATCTGCGTCTGAACTTGTGCAGAGGACATGTAAATCCCAATTGAACCTCGCAGCAACATCGAAAGACTGGAGTAACAGATCTGTCTGCAACGGAGTGTCAGCTACTTCGTGCGTCTCGGTGAGCACAAGGAATATGAACAAACACCACGAGCAAATAGACGCGTGTCGGCACCCGGCCGCTAAGCTATAGAAGCACGAAGCCAAAGGACGAAGGCCAGCTAACAAACGAATCAACAAATGACAAACGCAGCTCGACATGACTCGCATCGCGCCAGCTTCCCAAAGACTCCAAAATCCCTTAATCACGGAATATACCTTAGATTATAGTGACCCCTGATATGATTTAGCTCTCTGGGTACAAGTCAAACAGAAAGGAGAGATCCAAGCAGCTGGTCGAAGAAGACATCGCCAGGTAAGGAGGAAGCATAGCAAACCATAGAAAAGCCGGCGCCAGAGGCAGGCCCCGCAAGAACATGGTGTTATTATAGTATTGTGGTATTACAGAATAATGACATTGCAGTATTATGGTGGTACAGTATTATAGTATTATGGCATTATGGCATTAAAGTATTATAGTATGATGGTATTATGGTATTGTAGGCTGACGTTTTGACTAGAGAACCTCTGCAAAGGATCAGGCGGGGAGGTACTCAAACAGTGAAAACCCTCTGGGAACTACCCGTGTCTTCACATATAACGGACATTTTGGTCCCCTCACGTTTCCCCGTCACTACAAAAAACTATCCTAGCCGGATTACTCCCAACATGACCCTAAGAAAGCACAGCACGAGCAAGCATCGGAATATCAGAACCACAACTTATCAATGTAGGTGGTTGTCAAAATGACGGTCCCTTTTTGGGTCCCCATGATAGTACGGCACCTAATATTTAGGGTGCCCAAAAAGGGACCCTAATATTGACAACCACCGATGTGCTCAAAATGCCCGCGGCCTTCGGCCCAAGGACCGGCGCCTCGCCAGGGCCCGACATCGCCAGGCGAGGAAAGGCCCTAGACCCCAGGAATTATTCGATGTCTCAGAAGGATGAGTGAACTGGGAGTTCTCACCGATCGGACGCCAGTGAGATGTGCTAGGTCTGACCAGATTTCAACGCAAAGCAAGCTCAAAATCAGCATCGCCAATGTGACACTGCAGAGATATACGAAAGGCAAGGCTTCTTGAGCTTCAGAGCACTGGTGCTCGGATCCATCTCAACACCAGAGCCCATGTATGATGCCGGTTCGGCAGTCCCCGCCCCTCCTCCTCCCCATGGTTGGGACTGACTCGCCACCCCCCCCCTGTAGCATGGTGTGGTTCGCGGTTTTGATTTTCTTGGCTGTCTGGCGTCCTCATCATCATCAAGCAAGCATGCAAGATACTATCGCAGTGGCGGATTGTATGGCTTGACAATGTGTTTCCGCAGTGTGACGCGGGAGTGTTGTGACTTTCGGCAATGTGTAGCGACTTAGGGCCGGCACCAAGTACCAGGAGACACCAAGAAACCACCAGGAGACCACCACGAAGCCTCCAAGTGCGAAGCTCCAAGCCTAGAGTCCTGGAGATCTGAAGCTTGAACCTACCCCTTCTGCCCCTTGATCTTGAAACTGGAGCATCTCAGACCACTTTAGCACGGTGGAGGGTTCTGGTTCGGGTTTGTGCATAAATCCGTAGGCAGCGGCGGATGCGTCCGATTCGGGCTGGAGTACGGCTCGGCAACCTCTTTCGTGCGGGCTCTCTGTTCCGGGTTCAGCTCTGTAGTAAAGGAACGGCATTCAGGCTCATCATGACCCAGACCCCCCGGAGGATCTAGAAAGTAGATCCCCCAATTTGGGACCCTATACTACTAAGGGTACTTTATAGGAACCCCCATTAAGGGATCTACTTTTTGGATCCTCCCGGGGGTCTGGGGATGTATGATTCAAGAACCAAGACCTCACCTCCTGAACCTCAAGTCCTCCGGCACTCCAGCCGATAAGTCAGTCTGAGATTTAAGGTGGCAGGTGAGTTCAAGTTAGTGAGTTCAGTGTGGTGGGGGTTTCCATTGTGGTTACAGCACCTTAGCACGTATGCTTCGGTTCATGATATAAATCCTGCATTACCTTAACTATGAGAATTATGGTATATTCTTTATCATGGGTCATGCAGGATTTGTATCATCAACCGTTGCAAAGAGATCTTTCCCTTTTTCGCCGCAGCTCACGGGAAAGGCCGAGCTGCAGTGTACGGTTCTCTGCAATTCGCAGCCACTGTGAACCCTGCGGCATGAACGGTCTGAGCGCCTGAGATGCAGGGTACGGCTTGACTCCACACTTGCCTTTCATCAGCATCTCGTTTCTTTCATGCACGACCATGCCCCGCCAGCCAAGGAACTTCCCAGCCCTCTCAGGCTTCGTATCTTCAGCAGGTGTGTCTTTTGGGGTGGGCTAGCGCCTCGACGTCATAGTTCGCGGGTGCAGTGGAATTGATATCTGGCGGCGCGCAGACTGACGAGCTGTTCCAAAATGATATGCGATGTGGGACAATCTTGCAAAGACGGCGTTAACGGCATTGCTGCATTTCCTCAACCAGAGAGCGCAGAATGTCAACCTGGTGCTCCTGGAGCCTGACGCTTTCTTGGCAGAAAGCACTTCCGGGAAGGCTCCTTCGTCTCTTGCGAGGGACATCTCCAGCGTCGACTTAAAAGGTCAGCCTTTGCATTTTGACTCTCGGAGAGATGCTACCGGCAGAGCGCGGCTCGACAGCCAGCGCCGCCAGAGTCTCGGTTTGAGAGCAGGTCCTGTATGGGTTCTCCTGTGTTGGAACGTGCGGCCGTCTGCTGGCGCACTTACAAGAAGGTTGGCACGTATAGGTTTGATAGCTGATAGCGCAGAGACTGTGCAGGCGAGCTCTTTTGGAGTGGTGCACGATTCAGCACAATCTTGCCGGATGCTTTCGTTGCTTGGTGGCTTCATGAACAAGAACGCTCAATGTCAGTCTCCATGACACTCTTGGCACATGCCGCTTCCGGGCAGGCTTGTTCGAGTGTTGCAGCTGATCACGTGTCCAGAAGCGTGGTCGACAGAATGTCACCCTATATGCAGCGCTGACTCATCTCGACTCTACAGTGGAAGACGCCAATGCCAAACATCCCGGCTGAACAGCATGAAACAACTGTGCGATGGGTTTCTGGTGAACAGGTCCATCTTGCGCGGCTCGACATCCAGCGCGCAGTCTCGGCATTTGGTCACGTCTCGTTCGAGGCCCCTCGTGGAAGCACACGGTACCAGTGCTGCAAACATAGCAGCTGTCCGTTTTGGCACGGATGGAGCCACAAGCTTCGGGAGGAAGCGTGCTTCAACACGAGGGCTCTGTCGGACCGGTAGCTGAGAACCATTCGAAGCCGAAAGCTAGCAGCCAGAATCGCTTGCGCATTGTGAGCAAGCCGGAGTCAGGATTCTCATGCACGTGCATGTCGGTCAGCTTCGGCTTTCCATACTAGGAACTGTGAAACTGAGAAGCAATCGTGGTTGGACCGTGCAGGGGCACAAATGCCAGCGTTGAGTTTACCTCGCACAATGTTCTGCAGCTCCTGGGTCAGAGGTAGTCCCCCAGGCCGAGACGAAAGGAATCATGTCAAGCCTTCAGCTCAGTGTCTCGCCGGCACAGCTTGCGAAGAGAGCGGCACGACATGCAGGCATGAAGGGAGAGACGCACACTAGCCCAGAGACCGAGGTTAGGCCTCACGAGACCTTGGCGCCGCAAGCGAGTCGTCAACGAAAAACACCCAAAGCCGCAAAGATTGAAGACGGACCGCGGTGGGTCTGGGTCTCTTGGCCCGGCTCCCCGGCGCTACACATGTAGGCAATGTAGGCCTAATGGCCTAATTCAGGTTTGCCAGGGTCTTAGGGATCCCGATGCTACCCTACTGAGCTACATCGGATGCAGGTGTTTTTTGCTAGTTGGTTTCGACTCACGACTCGCCCCCAAAGCAGGCAAGGATCCCTAAGACAAGTCTAGGAGTTGGCTCAGGCGGAAGGACGCGCATCGAATCTGGCTGTCACAGTCGCTTGATGCTTCCATCTTCTGGCTTGCAAGGCTCACCCTCGATTGGACACCAGTCTCTAATCTTGTCA